ATCTTCAGAAGCAGCACTTCCCACTTGATTTTTGTGTCCTTTCAATCCCTCGTGCTTGAAGCCATCCCCGTGTGTTTGTAGGTGAAGATGTGACCTTGTGATCGTGAGAGAGGTTTTGTTTTGGCAGAATGTGCTGTGTCTTGGGTGCTGTGTAAAGTACTGGTGATGTCGTTATGTCCTTTAATCCACACAGTATCATTGTCCTCCCCAGTTTATAGTCAGTAAGTGCTTTGAGAAATATTCAACAACTCCCCCTTCCACTGTGGTCGAACGGCAGTCGGGATTTATGAGTTTACATGTTTTCATTACATTTTGTTAGTGTGTGCATGTTTGCATGTGTGTGCATTTGTGAGTGTGTGCATGCGTGGAAGAGTACAGGTTGCAGGAGTCAGTCCTCTCCTTCTTCCACTTGGGACCTGGGGATCGAACTCATGTAATTAGGCTTGGTGGCAGGCACCTTTACTCACTAACCAGCTTCCTGGCCCAGTTTGTGAGTTTTGATCCATATATCCAGGTGACTTGTTCCCTGTGTCCCCACCCATGGTCTAGTCAGCGTCTTGCATAAAACGCACTCAGCATGGACTTCTGGACCTCTCACCTGTTACTCCCGTGTCCCTTCCCAGGCAGCCCCATCTCTCCAGGTAGTCACCCTTGTCAGAAACCTTGGTGGCTTCAGGCCTCAAATCCTGCCTCAGATACACCAGACTGTCCTCAAAGCCCCGCTGGCTGTAGAACCACATGGGATTCACTGCAGTCTGCCTGCGCTGGCCCTGGGCTGAGTCACCCCCTCTCCTGTTCACATCACCTGCTTCCTCGTACCTAACAGTCTCTGCTCACTCTGCTCAGAGTCAAAAGAGCCACTGAGAGCCAGGTCAGCCCTTACCCTAAACCCTCCAGTCCTTTCCTGTCCCTTAGGTCAAAGCCACAGCCTTGAAGAATCCTGCTTTCTGCCCATCACTGGCCTCCTTGTCGCTCTCCCGAGGCCAGCCACGTGTCTGTCTCCAGGCCGTGACCTTGTCCTTCTTTCCTCCTGGAATGCCCTTACCCCGGGCCATCATGTGGTTGGATCTCCATCCACATTGTCACCTTGGGGTGCTTCTTAGTTCTCATCTGTGAGACCCCCCCCCCACTTTCTTGTGCAGCCCATGGCAGATTCTGGATTACCTGTCTCTCCAGTAAGTTCTATGACAGCAGGGATGCGCTGTTCCGTTGTGTCTGGGGGGGGGTGTCAAAGCTTGGTGCTTGGGAGATGCCCATTATGGGTTTTCTTTCCGAGTGAGAGAATAGGTAAATCAGTGGGTGACTCAGGCTGTGTGTGCTCTTAACTGGGCTGACATCCCACGTGCATTTGGCACTGACCAGGTGGGACTTGTTTGGTCTCCATGGTCTTGTGGATAAAGAGTCCTTGTTTGCATAAAGGTGATTTGAGTGCAGGGACATAACAACTTGCCTCTGTTGTTAGGTAACATGTTCTGGTAGTAAGTGGATGCTTGCAGTTACTGGGACATTAATAGACAGGCATCATTTGAGTTCAGCCGTAGCCATTTCCTAGATAATGAGACAGTGTGGAAAGTGTTTGTTTATTTTAGACTTCCCTTCTTTAGTAGCATCAACTACAGTTGAGAATTGCTTTAGGGTAAAACCAAATTATTCTGTTCTCATTCTTTGTAGGGAAGTGTATACTTAAAAAAAATTCTCATAGTTTTTATATCAGAAAGTCTAGAGATTTTTTTTTAAAATGCATTAGTTCAGGGGCTGGAGAGATGGCTCACAGGCTAAGAGCCCTTGCTGTCCTTGCAGAGGACCCAGGTTCAGTTCCTGGCATCCACAGCCATCCATAACTCCCGTTCTAGGGATCTTACGCCCCCTTCTGGATACTGCACACATGTGGTACACATGCAGACAAATGCTCATACATAACAACATAATAATAAATAAATCTTAAAAACAAAAAACCCTTGGTTCATAAGAGTATTTTTGTGTAACCACAACTGTTTCATCAGTTGCATATTTACTAGAGGTGTGGCAGTTCTGTTTTCCTACAGTCTGGCTATCTCGTGCCAACACAGTGATTTGTCACATAGAAGACAGAGGAGGTCCCATCCAGGCCCTGACCCCTCCATTGGTGTCCTAGGCTGCTTCCCTGTCTGCTCTAGGATAGACAGGAGGGTCTTTGCCCTTGCCTGGCAGGCTTAGTTAGATTCTTGGACCTGGGGATGGATTAGGTATTGGGGCGTGCCCTTTGCTGCAGAATCAGCAGTGAAAAAAAATGTCCATAGAGGTGCAGCAAGAGCCCCGTGTGTCACACTAAGTGCTCTGAAATGGATACTTACAAATGTGTGCTGTTGAGGAAGACTGTGTCTACCCTCTGAGGGCTTGCCTCGGTGCCTTCTCAAATGGTGTTCTCTCTGTACGGCAGGCTCTGCCCTAAGAGGGTTTGACACATTCCTTGTCTTCCCCCTACCCCACGCTCCCCCTCCCGTCACTCCTCCTGTCTCCCGTGCTGTGTGTTGTCCCTCTGCGCCTCTCCAGATCCCTTAGCTCTTTGATCCACTCATCCCTTCTGAAATGGCTTGCAGTGCTTTTCTATCTTCATTCACAGCTCACTCCTCCGCAGTCTGTGCTGACCCCTTCTGTCCAGGTCTTATGTTCATTCTGCTCCTGGGAGCGGGTTGAGCCAGAGGCAGTGGATTGCCACCACCAAAAACCAAAGGCCACGCGTGGGGTGGATGGTCATCAGTGGTGCTGAGCAGAAGTTGGGGTTCCCTCTTTTGGGGTCTTTGTCTTGTTAATGAAAGAACTTATAGGCAGTCTCAGAGGGACACTCAGGAATGACTTTATTATTGTTTCAGAGAAGAACAGCAGGAAGGGCTGTGCGGGGAAGCTTAGACAGCATCTGTGGGAATGAACAGAGGGGAGATGTTTGATATAAGTTGTCCCGTAGGCCTTTTGAGCACAGTGAGAAGAGCAGCAAAGCTGTCTTTTCAGAGTGGCCCCAGGAAGAACAGCTCGAATGGTGTAGGGGTGGGCAGCATTTGGTCCTCTTAGGATCTCTACCCCTTGGAGTCTGCTGGGCACCCAAGCGTGGTTCAGCCTCTCCTGAGACCAGAATCCCTATACCCCATGGAAAAGAAGTTACATGAAGGGTGCAGGGTACTATAAAGACATAGACTCAAAAATGCATACTGTGTCTCTCAGACATAGTATATATGATACCTATGGCTGAATAGGTCACTGTATTGGTATTACGTGAATTTAGCCACTGTTTTATCAATTTGTTTTAATTACATGTCCATGTAGATTGGAGTTTTTGAACTGAACGGCATTTTGTAATTCATTATTAGGAGAATCAGGCGGGGTGAGAACAATGAGGTATGCCCCTCCTGCCCCCAGGGAGACGGGAATCTCAGGGCATTTGTATAATCCTGCAAGGCAGAAGTGACAGTAGGCCCGGTGTGCAGAGTAACCTGGGGGATTAGGCCGCCTGAGCAATGATTTCCTAGGTAACCTTAAGAATGGCTTTTAAAGAAGCCAAGAGAAATCCTTTCCTCTCAAGCACAGGGAATTGGAGAGCAGCCCTCACTTGACCTTGTCCCTGGAGCTTGCACTCTCAAGGACACAACTGTGACTCTGAATCCAGAGTGAGATGTGGAAAGCAAACCCTTGTGTCCCCGTGTGCACACACTGTGAGGACACACCCTTGTGTCCCCATGTGCACACACTGGGAAGCAGCGCCTCTGCTGTGAGCAGTGTGGCTGGTGGAAAATCAATATTGGAACCTCACTGCATGGAGCCTGAGCTTCTACCCATCAGGACCAACTGGCCATGGCTGCCCAATGAGGGTGATTTCATGTGGTCCTCTTTGGGGGCCTTTGAGAGGATGATTCGGTGAGATTCCTGGCTCTCCAGCATGTGGAGCACACACTCTGCCTGTTGGCAGTTGTAACTTGCAATTTTATTGAAGTTTTAGAAAGTTAAATGACCATCTGAAAGCTGACACTGTGAGGGATGGGGTGTGATGCAGTGAGGGGTGGGGTGTATGCAGTGAGGGGTGGGGTGTGATGCAGTGAGGGGTGGGGTGTATGCAGTGAGGGGTGGGGTGTGATGCAGTGAGGGGTGGGGTGTATGCAGTGAGGGGTGGGGTGTGATGCAGTGAGGGGTGGGGTGTGATGCAGTGAGGGGTGGGGTGTATGCAGTGAGGGTGGGGTGTGATGCAGTGAGGGGTGGGGTGTATGCAGTGAGGGGTGGGGTGTGATGCAGTGAGGGTGGGGTGTATGCAGTGAGTTGCAGTGAGGGTGGGGTGTGACGCAGTGCAGTTTTCTTATTTGGCTGACTTGGTTTTCCTCTACAAGTTAGCCATTCAGTTAGAATTCTCACAAGCTGTAGGAGAAATGCTGCTATTTCCTATAATATGTGTAAAACAAATTCCCTTCTCTTGAGCACACGCCAGGCTTCTGGGTTCTGGGTGACTGGCATCAGAACGCGCTGCTTTCAGGATGGAGATGGCACTCTGCCCTTCTCTGTCCCTGCCTCCCTCTGGCTGTTTGGTTCTGCTTCTCTTACATTTCTCACCCAAACCTTTAATTTCTGTTCGTCCTCCCCTTCCTGAGGAGTCCTCTGTTCTTTGATGTTCAGCCTTGGACAGCAGGCCCAGGGGATGCTGGGAGAGGCACTTAGGCACCATCTGACCATATCTGGAGCCCTAACCCTGACCACAGGCCCTTGTGTTAGGTGCACAAGTTGAAGGAGGTTGGCTCCCTGAAGATTGCTTTCAGGCATAGGGCCCTCTTTTTATTTGCTTTTTAAAGCCACAGAGAAAGAAAGCCTTGATTTCTTCTCTGGCACCTTCTACAGACAGGAAGCCCAGTTGTTAGCTCTTACAAATCTCCCGTGAGTTTTTGACATGGTAGCAGCTTGAGGATTTTGCTGTTGTGTGAGCAGGGTCATGCATGGTGTTGTGACATCCCCCATTTAAAATGTCTACTTTTGTCTCGTCACAGCCCGATGATGATCATTACACAGAAGATCACTAGTCTGGCTTTCGAGATTCATGACGGTAAGAATCTGGAAGTTAATTCTTCATCCCAGAAAAGAACTCTATTCACATAATCTGTGGTTTGAGATACTACCCTAACTCTGAAAGGGAGGGGAGGAAGGAAGGACGGAAGGAAGGAAGGAAGGAAGGAAGGAAGGAAGGAAGGAAGGAACGAAGGGAGAGAGAAAAACAGTTCTTAAGGTTATTAAAATGTGCTTCACCCCCAGCCCTGTGTGTTCTCTTGATTTTTAATTCAATTCAATGATAAAAAGCAAAAATAGTCATGTGGCCCATCTAACGGACCCTTGGTCTAAGTCAAGTCTTATTCCTAATTTTGCTTGTCTTACATCATATACATCACATTGTATGCTGCTCCAACCCTCTCCCCTTGTGCTTCTCCCCGTATACACACATGTTTTCATAGAGTTTAGTATACATGTGTACCTGTTCTATATGTTTAATAAGTGGTTATAGGAAATGCCAGCAGTCAAGACTCCTTGGGGTGTTGACTTGCATTCCTCATAGGTAGGAGGGACAACTCTGCTCAGAGAGTTGTCTGTGTGTCTGTCCCTGCATATATGTGTCCCCCTAATCCTGTGCCTCCTCCCCAGCCCACTCCCCACATGTGGGCAGGGCACAGCCTTGATGTTTGGGCGGGGCAAGGAGGGGTTTTCCTCCCCTTGTCTTTTGCTACTGACAAGCAGAGTTACCTACTTCATTGTGTGGGGACAGGGACAGAAGGGACAGATGCCCCCGTGTGTTCAGTCACAGCTCTCTTTTCTGCCCCTCTGGAGCAGAGCACCTCCTCCTGGCCTGGGCTTCTAGAGGTGGTGACATGCATGGGGTGGCCTGAGGAGACCCAGTCTCCACATCCCCTGCTTCTGCTCTGGAGGACCTTTTTGTGCATTGTACTTCATGGACACACGTCTTGTGGCCCTTGCATTCTGAGCGGTGATGTGGGCCAGAAATTCTCAGAACCTGGTTCTGTAGTCATTGAGCGAGTACTGTAGGTGTTACAGATCCGAGCACCCGGTTGTCTTTAGGGGCTGAGACCCACATGTCACGCTGACAGGTCCCACTTGGAATGAGAGTCGAGGGACATCAGGGGTCAGGAATGTCATTCTGTCTGTAGGTCTAGAAGTGTCCACCGGTACTATGTGCTAAGCTCAGAACTGAAAGTACTTCAAGGCTCTATTTTGTGTTGTGGTCTTTGAAATCGACTTAGCAAGCAGGTTTTGATCAGCCTTGTCATGTTTGAAGAGTTCAGATCCTTTAGCGTCCGTGTGCCTCTTTCCTGCGAATTCCACCCTGCCAGACACCCTCCTGCAGACCAGCTACCCCCACCTTATGCTTGCTCTTCCCAGCCTCTTGCTTCCCCAGTGACTCTCCCAAGAGAGGACGTCCTTGTCTGTCCTGAGAACCCTTAAGTTCCTGCCTAGCTGGTCTCAGCATGCAGCGTCGTCCTGGCTGAGGTTTGTTCCGATGAAGATTCTAAACAGTGAATGACAGAAGTGTTTGTAGTGAGGTCCAGAAGAAGCCAGAAGCAGGCTTCCCAGAGTCTCTCCCCAGTGTGTCACAGGCAGCACTGGAAACCCAGCTCCAAGAGTGGGAACACCTGTGAACGATGTGTCTTCTGCCAGGAAGTTCATTAGACCTGGGCCCCAGGGTGCTTGCCAGGGGCTGGGCAAGCAGACACCAATGCCTGGCAGGTGTCACAGATGCAAATTCCCGGTGGGAAATCCGAGGTTGAGAAGAAACCGTGTTGACACGAACAGTCCCAGCCTAAGAAACGCTTGTCTCAGTGTAGGGACTATGTGTATCTGCCAAGCTCTGGCCATCAGCAGTGGGTGGAGCTTGCAGGCAGGCTCTACTGAGGGCAGCAGCAGGTTTTTAGCTGCTAGCCCAGCAGCTTCGGGGAAGCAGATGTTTTATCTCGATAACTTCTAGGAGTGGCGTCGAGACAACTTGCTCCCCTCACAGAACGCAGCCTCCCCTGCTGTTCTAGAGACTTCTGAAGTGTCAGCACTGATGGATGGCACACCTGGCAGTGGTTGGTCGTGACGTCTCACATGTCCCTGTCGGGCAGAGGGGAGGGGTAGGTTTTGTTTGCTTGTTTGTTGCCGAGCCTAGCTGGGTGCTCATACTTGATAAGGGAATGTGAGAGTCTGATTTCTATCTTAGGCTGTACCGTACTAATTTGTCTTGGTGTTAGTCTTCTAGCTTAAAGTGTGGTGTTGTTAATTGAAATTTCATAAAGATACTCTATTTCTGAGTTTGAACTGAGGAGGGAGGCTGGGCTTGTATATATAGACAAAATTATTCTATAAAAATGATTCCTTTAAGTTATATGTTTATTTTCCTTGGTTGGTTTGCAGTTTAAAATGATAGTAGCCTCCTGGGTCAGCATAGCAGGGTACATTGGTACAGAATCCGCACTCTGCACTAAACACTTCGATATGCTGTGCATGGGGCGGGGTAGGTGGCTCACTGGGCCAAAGCATGGGAACCTGAGTTCAAATCCCTGGAGTCCACCAAAAGCTTGGCATGGCAGCATACACTTATAACTCCTGGGGCCTTGCTGGATGGCCAGTTTAGCCAAAATAAAACGTAGGTTCACTTAGATACCCAGCCTCTATGGAGAGCAATGGGAGAGGACACTGGACATTGGACTCTGGCCTGTCATGCATGATTGAACATTTCTACACACAAAGAAATACTGAATAAAACACAACAAAAAAGCTGGGCAGTGGTGGTGCTCACCTTTAATCCCAGCACCCAGGAGGCAGAGGCAGGTGGATCTCTGTGAGTTCAAGGCCAGCCTGGTCTGCAGAGTGAGTTCCAGGGCAGCCAGGGCTACAACAGAGAAACCTTGTCTCAAAAGAAATTTTAAAAGCAAACAGAACAAAAAGTTTGTAGCAAAGCTTGGCGTCACAGACAACTGCTAACCTGCTCTTTTACTGGTGGGTGGGTGGGTGGGTAGGAGGTTGGTTGGTTGCTTGGTTTTCAAGAGAACACCAACATCCCTCATCTCCTTGATAACCCTAGGTCGTTTGGAATGTGCTAGATCTGTTGAAAAGGGTGGGTCCACCTACTGTGGGGAGTAGATCTGTTGAAAAGGGTGGGTCCACCTACTGTGGGGAATAGATCTGTTGAAAAGGGTGGGTCCACCTACTGTGGGGAATAGATCTGTTGAAAAGGGTGGGTCCACCTACTGTGGGAGTAGAGCTGTTGAAAGTGGCAGGACCCTTCCGAGGTTCCCCTTGTGTTCTCCTTTTAAGTGGGTTTTGTTTTGTTTTCTCCGTATGATTCCAAAAAGTAGGCACATGCTCCTTGAAGGGAGCATCAAAATGTAAGTAACCCTGAGGAGAAGGCAAAGGGGAACCCCTGGCCAAGTTCCCCTGGAGTCGGAACCCCTTCTTAGTCATCTTGACGTCTTTTTCATAGGCCTGGTTTTCTTTTCCTCCTCTTTAAAAATAGATGTAATTAATTGATTAATTAGCTTGTGTATGAGTGTTTGGCCTAGCATGTACTGTGATTGTGGCGACCAGAAGAGGGCGCCAGAACCCCTGGGACCGGAGTTAAAGCCAGTTCTGAGCCTTCCATGAGGGGTCCTCTGCAAGGGCAGCTGGTGCTGTTACTGCCATGTCACCCTCCAGCCTGATGTTTCTTCCCCACTGTTGTCAAAATAGATGTGCGGTTACACTCCCTTCTCTACTGACTGTAGAAGTGATTTTTTTTTTCTGTTATTTACGAGGTTGTGATGGTCCCGGTCGTAATTTCAGATGGCATTTTTGCTTATTGCCTTAGACTAGGGGCATCTAGGACAAGAGGGGAGAAATGTTCCTCCAGTCTTTGATCTGTCGGTTTACAGAAACATACGTGGTCCTTGGTGGCTTCTTCCTACTAGATGGAGGCCTCACAGCAGGGAGTCTGTCTCCTCTGCTCTTTCTAGTGCTAAGGGGACCTTGGTGTCTTAAGGTGGCTGTCATTCTCTCATGTCTTATGTACATGTGTCGTCCATACCAACATGTATGTGTCACATAATTGAGATCGCGCTGTGTAAGTGAGAACCTTCAGAGGTTCCGTGTGCTTCTGTGTAAAAGTGGCGGCTTGTTCCTGAACCTGACATCACTCTGCTTTGACCTCCCAATAATTAATTATGCTTTCATAATTAATCACGAAGTTAACAGTTTGTATATTAACTGGTTGTCTGTGTTTCTTTTCTAGTTTTCTCTGGTTTTTGTCTCTATCTCAATGTCTTTAAATGGCTTGAGTTTTATGTGTTTGGGCAGTGTTACCATTTTGTTTTACCTCCTACAAAAGCTTTCTAAGTGTATTGTTTGCTTCTTAATTTAGTCTCCCTTTGGTCTTTAAATTTCATCTAGTTTTTCTTTTCTTTCTTTTTTCCCTTTTCCTTTAATTTACCTATCTATCGATTGGTCTTTAAATTGTACTGTTCATTCATTCATTTATTTCTAAAGCATGTGGATCTACAAGTTCATGCTTAGCTGTAGCAATAGTCTCCTGACTGAGACAGGAGACACTCTAGATGGGTAAAGGTGATACATAAGCTTCCATTTTTATTCACTGGCATTGTATGAGAACCAGAGCACCGTCACTGCTCTGTGCTGAGGTACAAGTCCATGGCACTGAGATTTAGTCATCGAAATCCTTAAGGAGTTTTAATGCCTCTTTCTGAACAGTCATAACACTTTCTGTTAAGGATAACAGATCTGCAGGTTAAAATGTATTCATTTGGGAGATTTTTTAATTGGGTAATAATTTCCTTCGGACTAAGTAACTACTAACTTTCATTTCCCTGTATGTATTAAGTATGTACAAAGCAAGATGGGTTGGATCAGATGTTATTTGGTCTGTATCAGTATGAGACAGAAAGAGACAGACATTGGGCCCAAACATAGAGTATAGCATGGATTTCAAATGAGGCAAGGGCCATTCTAAAGAGAAAACAAGACTCACAGAAGTGTCTTTTTCTGATTCTCAGGGATGTTCCGGAAGGATGAGGAGCTGACCCCGTCGCAGAGGGGATTAGCTGTGAGGTATGTGTCTTTGGATTCCCAGGGGTTTGTGCTATTTCACTGGCTCACAGAAAGCAACCTTCCCTCTACACTGCTGCAGGCCACCGAGTCGCGCTGTGCTAGGCTGGCATTCTCTCCTGGGCTCCCCGTAAGTCCGTGCCTGTGCCGCTGTACCGTGTGTGCCTCCTGTGAGCCATGTGAGGCCACCAGTGTCGTCTCTGTGGGACTCTCACAGACAGATGGTTGGTCTGCAGTTGTAGTGATTGCTGCTAAGAATAGTAGTCATTGGGCCAGTATATTAACATAGCACAAAGATGCAACACAGATGTTACTGGTACTATTTGAGGAATTTATTCGGTCATCGTCTTTCTTTGTTCTGCTCTGAAGAGTGGTCTAAGGAGTGACTTGGTTTTCTGGCCAAGTGTTTTCCAAACCAACATGATTAAAAATAAAATATACTCCTTTTACCTTTAAAGAAACCAATCCCTGTTTTAAAATACAAAATTAGTGTATGCATGGCTGCTAAAACAGCGGTCCTCAACCTGTGGTTTGAGACCCCTTTGGATCAATTTGTAACAATGAAAACACACCCTACATATCATATATTTACACTACAATTCATAGTAGTAGCAAAGTTACAGGTATGAAGCGACAGTGAAAATAATGTGATGGTCGGGGCTCAGCACATGAGGAATGGTATTCAAGGGTCGAAGTGTTAGGAAGGTTGAGAACCCCTGCTCTAGAAGAAGGGATGGTGTTCACGCTGGTGGAGAGATGTACCACTGCCCTCATTTTTTCTCCCAGTAACACATCTGCACATCTTCTCAGGGGGTTCCCGTCTCCTCTATGGCCGGTCTTCATACAGCAGCCCGTAACCATTGGCTACACTTACGTGACAAGGACCTGGATTGGCTCTTGGCTTTTCCTTGGCCTTGATCTACCCTAGACACTGTCATATACAGGCATCAGCTCTGATTCTCCTGTCCCTCTCAGGCAAATGACCAGCATCAGTTAGCTTCAACTCTCCACCCTCGGAACGGTAGGAGGAAGCCAAGTAGAAAGACACTTCTTTTGTTGGCCGGAGTCATTTTGAATTTTTTTTTTTACTCTGTTTTTTTAAATCGTGGTCCTTGGGGCTAGAGCAGTGACTCAGCAGTTGTTGCCCTTGCAGAAGACCAGGTTGGTTCCCAGCATCCACGTGGTGGCGTGACACCAACTCCTGACTCCAGTTCCAGGGGATCTGACAGCCTCTTCTGGCTTATTGGGGCACCAGGCACGCACATGATACACACATACATTAAACCCTTTTAAAAAAATCATGAGGCTGGAGAGATGGCTCAGAGGTTAAGAGCCATCTGGTTGTTCTTCTGGAGATCTTGAGTTCAATTCCCAGCAACCACATGGTGGCTCGCAGCCATATGTAATGAAATCTGGTGCCCTCTGCTGGCCTGCAGGGATACGTGCAAGACAGAACTCTGTATATAATAAATCTTTAAAAAGAAAAACATGATCCTTCGTGTTGACAATAAAGCTGTTGCATTTCCTTAGTTCTCTCTCTGAAAAGATTTTGGAGTCTCCTCTCCCCAGAACTGCAACATCTTCTCCTCCGTACTCATAATGGAGAGCTGAATTTCATTTCTTTTTTTTCTGTAGTAATGGAAAGTTCGTTATTAAGATGTCTTCCCCTTTCCCATCTGTACAATCCATGGGTTACTATGTGTAACCTGCCTGGCTCGACTGCATCCTGACCCTGAGGACAGCCCAGGTGAACTGTAGACCAGAGTGTCAGCAGGATGAACTCACAACAGAGCAAATAGCGCAGGCTGCGTGAGGCCACCTGCTGTGACTCACCGCAGAGGGCAGCAATGCCGGGGTCCCCGCGCTGTGTCACTCTATAGTCATAAAACCCACCAGGCTCCCGGAATCTGTAACAGAGTGCCTGCTTTTCTAGTTCTGCAGTTTGGTTTGGTTTGTTTCTAGACAGGGGTTTCTGCGTGTAGCTCTGTGGACCAGGCTGGTCTCAAACTCACAGAGATCCACCTGCCTCTGCCTCCCGAGCGCTGGGATTAAAGACGTGCGCCACCAACGCCCAGCCTAGTTCTGAGTTTTAATTACCCATAATTCAGTGCAGGGCTGCTGGGTTCTCACCTCTGACCTCGATCAGGTTCGTTTTCTTCCTCCCTGTTGGCGGGGTCACCATCAGCTTTTCAGGAAGACTGTTGTGTCGTCACACTTGTCTTCTAGCCGCCACCGGCCCGTCATAGTCCCCACTTCCCATCTCCACGTCGTCTTCCTCCTCTGTGGTCAGATGCATGTTTCTTTCCTCTCTCGGTGGCCCTTAGTCTTCAGCCTTGTTGCCACGGTGGTCAAGCACAGTGGCATCACTGTCCAGCTGACCGCTGTTCGCTGAATTCCTGGGTACCGAGTTCTCTTCTTTTCTTCCTCTGTCCTCCTGCTCAGCCCTCTGCCCCTCTCCCGTTTGGCTGGCGGTTGTCGTACCCCGGACCTGAGACCCTGAATGCCCCAGCTTTCCCCAGTTGCTTCCACGTGGCCTGGTGGCTTGAAGCCACTCAGTCCTCTCCCTCCTGTCCAGCCTCCTGTCCCCACTGTCATTTCGGTGTCCTCACTTGGGCAGCAGTGGGCTGGATTTCTGTCCAGCACCACCACTTGCAGGCTGGTAGCGTCGTTTGCTATTGCGGGCTGATGGGGAGCATAAGCAGATTTTATTTTCTTACTGCAAGTCCATTCCACTAGAAAGTCCGGTAACCTTTCAGTCATCTCCAGTGTGTGGCTGCTTCTGGCCACACCACTGTGCCATCCTGATCCTCTAAGGTCTAGGAGGCTGCCTGCCAGATTGCATGTGATGCTCTCTGTAGCAGATTTTCAAGGTGAGTCTAGTGAAACAGCCCCCCCCTCCTGTGTGTGCGCGTGTGAATACACAAGCCAGAATAGAACATCAGTATCTCCTTTTGCCTTCCACTATGTTTTTTATTTTGTTTTGTTTTGTTTTTCAACACAGGGTTTCTCTATGTAACAGCCCTAGCTGTCCTGGAACTTGCTTTGTAGACCAGGCTGGCCTCGAACTCAGAGAGATTACCTTCTTCTGCCTCCCTAGTACTGGGAGTAAATGCGTGCGCCACCACCGCCCAGCTCCACCTTGTTTTTGAGACAAGGTCTCTCTGTACCTGGCTATTCTGGCTGGCCAGTAAGCTGCTAGGATCCTCTTCTATACTTCCCTGTTCCCGCCCTCCACCCCCCCCCCCCCAATTCTGTCTAGGGTACAGGAATGGGCTCATCTTCTCACTGAAGAATCAAATGCAGAAAAAGTTTGAAAGGCAAGCAAATCCCAAGTTTACTCAAAGAGGATGATTTTATTAGAGTCTAAGAGAGAAACTCCAGGGCAGGCAACTGTCAGTCTTGGTAGCTGGGGACCTGGGGGGTGGGGGAACAGCAATGCTGTTTGAGTTAAGTGGCCATGTGAGGGGAACTACAGAAAGAGTCAGGACCAGAAAAGGCATCCTTAGTTTCTGGCCAGCCTCTGAAGGGGGCGGAGAGGGAAAGTTGAACTTCCATCAGAAAGCTGGATAGACCCAGTTGAACCTCACGGTGGCTAGGGACGGGAATTGTGGGAAGGGGAAGTAGGTATTTAATTAAAGGGCTAATCATTCTGCCTGTTGCTTTAGTGTGGCCTAAGGGGAGCCTGCCCTCCTTCCATGATGCCTTGTTCCGGTGATTGACTAGCCCAACTGGTTAACTCTGATGGTTTTAGTAGCTTGGAATGTTAGGTCTCTGCCCAGGCCAGAGATTACATCCTCTTGACCAGAAAAAACCGGTTTTCCCTTTATGGGCCTTTATTGTTACTGTATCGCTGCCCCGTCTAAAGAGAACCCTGAAATTGTTTGGGAGATGGGCTGAAGTTGGGTTGCCGATAACCCATTTCTTTATGGAAGTTCCAGTCCCCACTGTGGTGTATGGCTCCAGGCAGGGCTACTGACTTCCAAGGAGGTGGGGAGCCAGGGCTTCCTGCCAGCAGTCCTGGCCGGAGACCGAAGGACATCTGCACAGCATTTGCTCCTGAGTCCCTGCGCTGAGCTGCCTGTCCAGCGTCCAGCACCTGTTTTCATTGCACACTGATGTCATAGGCACCTGCAGCCATGCCCAGCCGTGAGTGTGGGTGCTGGAGACTGGAATGTGGCTTCTCTTGCTTCACGCATGAGTGCTTTTACCCACCGAGCGGCCTCTCCGTCTCCAGAGATGCTTTAAGCAGGCTTTGGGTTGTTTTAGTATTTTTTTGTTTTTTTAGCCTCTTCCCTGATTTAAAAGTAAAATTAAAATTAAAAATCCCTGGTATGTCCTGTAACTTCCCACCACAGCATCCTTCTCTGAAAGAGCCTAGAGCTCCACACTGTTGCCTCAGTTTACTCAATCCCCATCTTGTTTGGGGTTGGGAGAGCCAGGTGGGGTTGTAGGTCAGGTTGACTTCAGACTTGCCCCTCTCCAGCACCATCCCAAGGACTGGTGTGATAGGTGAGTGCCACCGCACCCAGCCACCCCCTCTTCAGCCTTAGCCACCAATCTGAAACTCCTGCCTGCTTTCTTCACAATGTGTGGACTGTTCGTTTCCTCAGCCCTCTCCCAGCCCAAGCATAAGGTCCCAGGTTGAGAGCTTTGTCTGCCTATCGCTACATTCTGTCTCCTAAACGGCCAGTGATTCTTGCCCCAGGAGACGTTTGAGCATGTCTGGAGACGTTTCTGGTTGTCAGAGCCTGGAAGGGCTGACCGCTAATAGGTAAAGGGCAAACATCTCCACATGCAGGGCCGTGTTCTGCAGCACAGAAGTACTGACCCTCAGCCAGGAGAGGCCAAACTGACCTAAGGCCACGACACGCAGTTGATGTCAGTGGGTAGAACAAGTCAGCAAGTCTTTCATGTGGCGAGTGAACTAGTGGGCCTAGGCATCATACTGACTTACTCCAGCACCTCATACTGTTTGTTTGACAGTTGAGCCAAAGCTCTCTTCAGTAAACTCTGTGACTGAGAGGAATCTGCTCTCGTGGGCACCAGGTGCCTGCCTGTGACCGCAGCACTTAGGAACTGGAGACAGAGGGGCCGCAAGGCCAAGGTTATCCCTTGCTTCTCAGAGGCGTCTGCAGTCAGCACGTGCAGCTTTCCACCCTGCCTCAAGAAAAAGCCAGAAATGAAACAGATGGAAAAAGTGAGTTAGTTCCCGGCCATCGGTGCCTGTGATCCCAGCCTCTAGGAGCCTGAAGGAAAAAGGCTGTTAGGAGTTCCAGGCCAACCAGAACCACAGAGGGGGCACTGGACTATGCAGCAAGACTGTCTCAGACAACAAAAATGGTGTGGAGAGATGGCTCAGCATTGAAGAGCTCTTTCCTGGGTTCAGCTCCACACAGTGGTGGCTCACAACTGCCTTAACTCCAGTTCCGGAGGGTTTGATGCTCTCTTCTGGCTTCCTCTGGCTCCTGAATGCTTGTGGTCTGCATTAATTCATCGGAGGCAGGCACAAATACACACACACACACACACACACACACACACACACGCACACGCACACGCACACGCACACAATAAATAAATTTCCTAGAGCCACATTGAAAAAAACACCACTACCACTACCACCACCACCTCAAAAACAGAAAGAAAGAAAAAGAAATACTGGAAAAAATAGTTTCTGATTAGAACAGGGGGTGCTGTATTGATCTTCTCATCCCTCCTAAATAACAGTAATCCCTGATCTATGAGGGTGCTTGCCTTCTTTGCCCAGAATATTCCCTGAGGAGACTGTCCGTCACGTGCAGAGAGGAAAGAGGGCCTCCAGCCTGTCAGGGGGTCTGCTTACTGTAGTTGCTCTTCCGTCTCCAGTAGATGGACTACAATTCCTGCTAAACAGTACACACTGAGCCTTGTGGACAGGCCTTGAGGCACAGGAATCAGAACTGTTTTCAGACACCCTCGCTTCCTGTGTCTCTCAGTTCCCACAACTAATCCATCCGCTGACCCCACAGGTGGGCTGTCAGAAGCCACACGACACGCTGCTCCCAGCGGCTCCACGGTGTGGTCCTCTGCTACAGTCCCCTGCCGTGTCCACGCACCGGGCCAGAGTGGCACTCTTGAAACACGGCCTTTAAAACCTGGTTATAATTTTCCATCTCATTCAGAATGAGCTCACAGATTCCTCTGTGGCTTGAAGGCAGGCCCCGCGTGATCTTACCTCAGTTAGCAGTCTTTCCTCTGTGTCTTCCGTGTCATTTTTCAGCAGCGCTATCACTGAATGTATGCCACCTGTGCCCTCATCGCTCCTGTTCCTAGACCCCTCATTACCTGGGTTTGTACCGTTCTCACTTCTGTTTAGTCTGTGCCCAGATGGGATTCACCAGAGGCGTCCCTGAATTCTTTTTGTAAAGAGGCCCCTTGATCTTTGTGGCATTTAGTGTCTCTGAAGATCACATAGAAGATTATATTCCTGCATATATGTAATATCTATGCACATATATCTTATGCATGTATGACATCTGTGTTAGTCCGTGCTTTGCAATGGGAGCATAAGCCCCATGCATGCTGGGTTCCGTTTGCTGCCTGCTATGTCTGCAGGCCCTGGAGCCTGTTGCACACATGACGGGCACATGGCATGCATTTCTTGAGTGAGCAGGCAAAGAGAAGTGAGCGGTGATTTCTTGTGCCCCATCGTGGTCATCTTAGGTTCTTTCGTTGTATGAAAACCCTCTGTAGTTGCTGCTAAAGATCTGTATGAAAACCCCCTACTGTTCTATTTCCTTTCTGTAAGCTATCTTAACAAAAAAGCAACTTAGGGGAGAGGGGGGATTTATTTGGCTCACAACTCCAGAATGTAATCTGTCTTAGTTAGGATTTCTATTACTGTGATAAAAAAAAATACCATGACCAAAGCAGTTTGGGGAGGAAAGGGTCTGCTTTAGCTTACCACTCTCAGGTCATGCTCCATCACCCTGGGAAGCCAGGACAGGAACACAAGGACAGGAACCTGGAGGCAGGAGCTGATGCAGAGGCCATGGAGGATGCTGCTTATTGACTTGCTCCTCTTGGTTTTCATGGTTTGCTCAGCCTGCTTATACACCCAGGACCAGCAGCCCAGGGGTAGCACTGCTCACAAAGGGCTGGGTCTGCCCGGATCAATCACTAATTAAGAAAATGTCTGCTGGATTGCCAACAGATCAGTGTTATGGAAGGATGTGCTCAGCTGTGGTTCCCTCTTCTCAGATAACTCTAGCGTTTGTCACGTTGACAAAAGGAAAACCAGCCAGGACACAGGTCACCATAGCAGAGAAGGTCAAGGTGGCAGGGACAGTTGTCATATCATTCCACAGTAAAGGGCGGAGAAAAATAAATACAGTGACACTCGCTCACAGCTAACTTCCTGATGAGTTGCGTCATTCAGGACTCCCTTCCTAGGGAATAGTGCTCCCCATGATGGGCTGGACCTCCGTATATAAACTAACAGCCAAGATGATCCCTCCCAGGCCAACCTGATCTACAAAACTCTTCCTGAAGACTCTCTTTACAGGTGAGTGTAGGCTGTGTCAAGTTGAGAGCTTAAAACTAAGTAGCATTGTGTTTTCAAAAACAGATATGTAGAGAGAATTACTCTGCCCCACCTCCCAGATTCCTACGTAGATGCTCGTGAAAGCTGAGGTGTCTTTTATTTTGGAGATGGTGGCGGTAGTGAGCTCACGACTGCTGGTTTCTGTGACTCATCCCTGAAGGTGTCTCTTGAGTCTCACAAGCGTGTCCTCTCATTGCAGGCGCATGCCCAGTCTCCTGGAGTATGTAAGTTATACCTGCAACTTCATGGGTATCCTGGCAGGCCCTCTCTGCTCTTACAAAGACTACATCACTTTCATTGAAGGCAGGCCGTCCCACATGTCACAGTCAAGTGAGAACGGAAAAGAAGAGCCGCAGCGTGAAAGAGCAGATCCATCTCCAAACGTAAGGGCGTGAGGCTCACCTGGATCTCTGGCTCTATAGTTTGTCTGTCTGGTTTTCTGGAAAAGTCTAATGTTTTCACTTGTCGTCACTCCCCCATTGATTTCTCTTTTCCTTCCTTTCTGAGTGTGTATGTGTGTCCAGGAGTGCATGTGCATGCATGTGTGTGCAAGAGTACATGTGTGTGCACATGTGTGCCTGTATGTGTGTGTTCAAGAGTATATGTGGTGCGCTGTTAGAGATTAAACCCAGAGCATTGCCAGGGTCTGTGTTGCTAATGTACTAAGGCAAGTGATGCTACCACTGAATTGCATCTCTGTCCTCCATTCCCAATTTTTGTTTTCATTTTTAAAAAGATGCTTATGAGCCGGGCAGTGGTGGCGCACGCCTTTAATCCCAGCACTCCGGAGGCAGAGGCAGGCGGATCTCTGTGAGTTCAAGGCCGGGCTGGACCGATAGCCTCCTAAACAATACAGAGAAACCCTGTCTCATAAAAACAAAACAAACAAACAAAAAAAGACGCTTATGTGTCTGAGTGTGTACCGTGTGTAGGTGGGAATCCATGGGGGTCAGAAGACCCCCTGGAGCTGAAGTTACAGGTGGTGTGAGCTGTCTGAGGTGGGTGCTGGGAACCAGACTCCGGTCTTCTGGGAACAGTGCAGTACCTCTCCACCCTTCTTGTCCTGAAGCTGACAGTGACCTTTCTCTGAAGCCTGGCCTTGAACTTGTGATTTTCCCGTCTCACTCTCCCTCCCCAACCAGCCAGAATTACATGTCTGTACCACCTGCCCAGCTAGTTCCTTAGTAAAGGCAATGCTATCCAATGGTGGGTCCTACATGGCAGCCCCTCATGGGCTTCTGTCTTCCTGGTCCACCACTGGAAACACTGGAGGCTCCTTTCCCGGTCACGTTCTCTTCCTAATAATGCTAGTCAAATCATGCTCGTGGGGCTGGAGGTGACGTCGTGGCTAAAGAGCTTGCACAAGCGTGGGGACCATAGTCTGGATCTCCAGAACTCATGTCATGGTAGGGCGTCACAACTTGCCTGTATTTCCGTCCCTGGAAGGCAGACATGGGATCCCTAGAGCAAGCTGGCTAGCATGATTAGTTGTATGGATTTGATTGACAGACCCTGCTTTGATGGGGGGTAAGGAGGGTGAAAATATTCCTGTCCAGGGCAAGGCGCCTCCTGAGTTTTGATCATGAGCACTAGGGTTTGTTGCCGCATTGCCGCATTCAGGGGTATCTGGTGGCCGTGTCTAAAAAGTGCAAACGGGAGTCCTGTGAGGTTTGTGACTCTCGCCTACCCCTTCCAGGCAGCAGTTACGGAGAAGCTCCTAGTCTGTGGACTCTCCTTGTTATTTCACTTGACCATCTCCAACATGCTACCCGTGGAGTATAACATCGATGAGCACTTCCAAGCCACTGCCTCGTGGCCAGCCAAAGCCACCTATCTCTACGTCTCTCTTCTGGCTGCCAGACCTAAGTACTATTTTGCATGGACCTTAGGTAAGTAGCATGCAGACTTGTTCCCCTGCTGAAGTGTGTCTTGTAGGTCTCGGGCAGTGTCCTGGGGGTTTTATTGTTTTTCTGTGACTGCGCCCTGTTGTACCTGCTGGCCTCAAGCTACTGAGTGCAAGCCATGCCCCTGCTTCTTCAGCCTTGCTAGTAGCTGAATTCACAAGCACCCCACTGCATCCAGCTCAAGAGCACCCTCTTGAGGATATGTAGTTGAAGAGCAAATAGAACAGTTAGTCATTTTGCCTAAGAAACAAACCCCCAAAGTTCATGAACAAGGCCTATTATAAGATAAAAATCAGTTTATAGTTGAGGTACTTATCTTAATGCCTGTTGTGTGTTAGGTTCTGCGAGCTTGATTGAATACTAACATGCATGGCATAGTCCCTGTCTCCAGGGTACCTATAGTTTAGAAGGATTTCAATACACTTATTGTTATGACACCATTAGAGACAGTGTATTATGATTGGAACTGCACCAGAAAAGTGTGCGAAATCACATCATTTCACAAAAGGGTCCATGACACCCACCAGGTGGGACATATTAAAGAGTTCTGTGCCTTTAAGACTGAAGAGGTGTACACGTGCCTGGACTGTGACTGGCGTGTTGGGGACCGAATGGGAAGGATGGGTCTGGGGAGAGAGAACTCTCTCTCAACCCTCCCCCTCTGCTGCACGGCTGCACAAGCCTCAGGAGGCTCCAGGTGATGGTTGTCATGAACTTTATCTGCCAGTGTTCAACATTTTCATGTTATCACCTCAGGAATCCTCTGAGTGTAGCCATGCTCCTGCCCGCATGGTGGAGGGTGGAGAGTGGACTGAGGGGCACTGGAGCCTGGTTTGTGTGTCATTTGCCATAAGCCTCTTTATTCTTAAGACTGTGTCCTGGTCAGTAAGTTTATGTGACACTCTGTGAACATTTGGATACCTACAACGAGCATACAACAGAGGAGTTGGTGCCTGGCCCTTGGCTATTGCCTTTATTTTAGTATAGAACTGTAGCTTGGAACTAGAGACCATATTTTCTTTCATGCAGAAATACATTAGTCAAATGACTTTAGCCTGTGAATGTGGTGATAATAGGAGATAATGTTACCTTGTGAGAATTTGTTTGAGTTCAGGGGCTGTGCATCCCATGACTTCCATCTCCAGGTCCTTCCCTAATCTCTGGGATGCCAACAGCAGTGAGAAGCTTGCACTATTATGCATGGCCTTGTGTGGGTTTAAACTAATATTTCCTCAACACTGTTTTTATTCTAGCCAAATTTAAACATTAATGCTAAGTGAGATCCCTTAAAATCCATGTGTGCCTGGTTAAATGCTGGATTTAACATGAAGGAGGCTCTGATATTCCAAACCAACTCTTTTTTTTCCTTTTTTAGTTGTTGGTGTTGATGTTGGTGAAATGGCTCATGGGTAAAGGCACTTGTTAGCTACCTGATAACCTGTGTTCAATCCCAGGGACCCACATGTTGGAGGGAGAGAACTAACTCCTAGAAACTGTCCTCTGACCTCCACACATGCTCTGGTGTGTGAGGTCATACATACACATACGTGCATGCCCCCCCCACACACACACACTAAACAAGCAAACAAATAAATGTAGTAAATTAGATTTGTGCCATTGGATTAGTTAAATCACTAGGTGCAGGAATATGGGTTTTCTATACCCATTTGGATTTGTTAGCAGCCTTGTGTGTTGTGAAAGTGGGGCTCTCTCCACGTTCTTGGCAGATTTTATCTTTAATCCTGTTAAGTCTGCACGTTACCGTATTGATAGGCTCAGCACCGAAGGCATGGGTTTACCCTTCTTAAACCTGACAGAAGGATAAATCTCGATTGCTCACTGTCTCACCAAATTGTAGGGTTTTTTGGTTGTTGTTGTTGTTGTTTAATCAAATGAGAAATAAGGCATAAACAATTTGAGGGTAGGATCCATGTCTATGAAGGCGTATTGTTTTGCTGCACTTTGATGGGTTTCCACTAGTTCGGTCAAGACACAGGTGGTATGAGTTAGAAACACTTCAGTTGGTTGGGAAGGACCTACTTGGGGCAGAAATTTCCTATCTTGAGCATGTTTGTAATCAAAGATTCTGATGGAATGCCATGGTGAAAGGGTTGAAAAGCAGGTTCTGCAGACAGAGTGGGTTCTCGTGAGCTAAGAAGAAAAGAAATGAAGCCATTAGGCTCCCCCGTGCGTTTCTGTCTATAATAAAGGCCAACACGGACGTGCTGTGCTCGGGGCAGAAGATTACCAGCAGTGCCTTCCATATGGCTGAGCACTTTCTGCCGTATTCTGCCGTGTACTCCAGACTTTTTAATTCCGCCTGTCTCCTCTTGCTTCACAGTGGGTGTTTTGTTAGCTAACCAGCTGCCCTTAATAGGGTCATTATTTTCAGTGTGTATAATGGTTTCTAACCTCTTAAAAATTAGAATCAGCCAGGGCTGGGCAGATTATGGCTCAGTAGTTAAGGATGCTCGCTGCTGGGCGGTGGTGGTGCTCACCTTTAATCCTGGCAGTGGGGATAATCCTGACACTCAGGAGGCAGATGCAGGTGGATCTCTGTGAGTTCAAGGCCAGTCCGGTCTAAAGAGTGAGTTCCAGGACAGCCAGGGCAATATAGAGAGACCTTGTCTCAAAAATGAATACAACAACAAACTACTTGCTGCTCTTCCAAAGGACCTGAGTTTGGTTGATTATAACTGCCCGTAACTCCAGCTCCAGGGGATCCAGTGCCCTCTTCTGACCTCCATGGACACATGTATACATTGTAACATGTACAAAAAGAGAAATACACACACATACACATTTTAAAATTAGAGTAAGTCGTGGACTATGGTTGCAGCTCACCAGGAAAGGGCTTGCCTAGAAGGTTCAAGGCCCAGCATTCAATCTCTCAAATACGACTGAATAAAAAGTCTACTTTTACTGTTTATTGTACATACTTCCTGGGAAGATAGAGTTGCAGGGTGTGCGCGATGGCTTAGCAGTTAAGAGCATTTGTTGCTCTTACAGAGGAACTGTTTTCAGTTTCTAGCACTAACATGGTGGCTGACAAACATCTGTAACTCCAGTCCCAGGGTAATCTAACACCCTCTTCTGGCCTCTGAGGGCACCACAAATGTACATGGGACATAAAACATGCAATCAGGCAAAACACCCAGACATATAAAAATAAAATCTATCTTTAAAAAAACAAAACAAAACAGATATGTGTGTATATACATATATATTGTACATACATTGTAATAGCATTTCTAATATGTGTGTACCCACATATACATTGTATATACATTGTAATAACATTTCTAATACTTTGTGACAGCTGATGCCATTAACAATGCTGCAGGCTTCGGTTTCAGAGGATATGACAGGAATGGAGTGGCTCGTTGGGACTTAATTTCCAATTTGAGAATCCAGCAAATAGAGGTTAGTAAATGATTAAGATGTTAATCGTGTGACATCTAAATGTCCCAGGTTGCTTTCATAGTTATGGTGAGTTGTCCTGAGAGTGATGTCAATGGGTGTTGACCACAATAGTACCCAGACCTTTGTGTTTTTGTTTTTGTTTTTATAATAGAATAAAGAGTTTATTTGGGCTTACAGATGGTGAGAGTCCATAATGATGGTGTGAAGGCGGTGGTAGGAGTAGGATGCTGAGAGCTCACATCTTTTTTTGAAAGATGATTTATTTGTTATGTATACAGTGTTCTGTCTGCTTGTATGCCTCCAGGCCAGAAGAGGGCGCCAGACTTCATTACTGATGGTTGTGAGCCACCATGTGGTTGCTGGGAACCGAACTCAGGACCTCTGGAAGAGCAGCCTGTGCTCTTAACCTCTGAGCCATCTCTCTGGCCCTAGGAGCTCATATCTTGAACTGCAAGCATAAAGCATGGGGTGAACTAGAAATGGCATGCGTCTTTAAACTGTTCTAGTCCACCTCCAGTGACACACTTTCTGTAGCAACACAGACCGCTTAAACCTCCCAAGCAGCACCGCCAACTGGGAATGGAGTGTTTGTGTGCATGAGACTATGGGGGACATGTCTCACACATGGATTGATTGATGGTTATTTTTACAGGAAGATTCATGACTGGTGAGCCAATGGCTGTTGACTGTGGGCATTAAAATGGATGCTTACACCACCCCCTTTCAGGGCTCATAGGGGAGGGGGTAGAAAGAATGTCAAAACCAAATGACAGGGAGGACCATGGGATAATACCCCTACCTTCACCCCATATTCACTGGTGGTAGACCACCCCTGGGGGTGCTGTCTTAGGGTCCTCAGGAACTGTGTAAAGTGCTGGAATGTGGGTTCTGACCTGGAAGGTGCAGGCATACAGTGTTTGTAAATCTGCAGTTCATCTTAGGGAAGGTGGAGTGGGAGATAACCAGGGGAATCCTGGAGGAAGAGCAGCCTGTGAGGCTGAAAAGGGCGAGCTGTTCCTAGGGCGGCATGCGAATGTGCTGGAGGTAAGGCTAGAGAAGCAGAAGCCATCCCAAACACTGCCTCAAAAGCTCGCAGCACCTACTGGGCAGCTCACAACTGGTTCTGAAACTAGTTCCGGGTGTCTGGTGCCCTCTTCTGGCTTCTAGGAGCACTACATGCACATAGTGCATACACACACACACACACACACACACACACACGGTGCATTGTAATAACTGTTTTCAAGGGGGGACAGTTGCTATCAGGTAAATTGGGGGCCTAGTTACAGCTAAGGATCTTGTATGGGAGGTCTGGAATGTCAAAGTCATCATCCACATGCTGCCTGGGGGGATGGTGGACAGCCTGCCAATCAGAGATCAGGGTTTTGATAGGTAGATGGGTAGGAAGGGAAACTAGACAAGGACATCAAAGATCTCGATATGATAAATAGACTGTGGACTCTGGAGTGCTAGAAGGAGCTAGAGACGTACCTGCCCACAGTGGTTGGCTGTGCGCTTACCGCGTGTGGGGGTCCTTGGTTTAATCCCACCATCACCATAACTGGATAAGAGGAAGGAGAACAGTTACACAGGATGACAACGGACAAGCTGCAGCCCAGAGATAGACATACACAGCCAGGAAGTGCTAGATTTAATAAGATAAGCTTGACCACAGAGGTGTCCCAAGCCAGGGGTTCATGGCCCATTGCTGTCTGGAGGCAGTGTGGAGCTGGGGGCACTTCAAGATCTAGAGTAGTCACAGGGGCCTGAGAGGCAGTGCTGGCTGGCTGTGACTGTGGACAGCCTTCACCTAGAAAGAGGCAGAATGGAGGGGGAGTGGGGGGGTGGCGGCTGCTCCATCCAGGACACAGAGGCGAGCAGGTCACTGTGTGAGCCTCTGTGAGGACTCCTCTGTATGCATGGCCTGGGAGAACATGGCAATGTTCTTCTGGCTGTCGATGTTCCCACAGATACAGAAACTTCCATGGAAGTTCTTCTGTATTAGAACAGTGTTGAGGAAGAAGCCAGTGCTGTGCCATCATTACCCAGTGGTTTTAGTTTTAATTTCTTACCACACTAAAGCATTATTACGCAGACGTAAAGCTTCATTATTTTATTGGCCAACGAAAATGATCCCTTTTTTTTTCAGATGTCAACAAGTTTTAAGATGTTTCTCGATAATTGGAATATCCAGACAGCTCTTTGGCTCAAAAGGTATGTTCCTTCAAGAGTCACCCTTGGGCATGCTCTGGCATCGGGATTGGGGTTGAGGTTGCTGACTTGACATTCTTCATTGTCAGTGTGTTGGATGCCATTGTGGTCTTGATTTTACCCAAGATATGTCATTAGCATGCACCGGAGCAACGCTTGGAACTGAGTCACAAACATCCCTGTGTTGGTGTCACCTCATCCTGGTTCAGGCTCTGCTGATGTGTGGGGTAGCCAGTGTTCTCAGCAGCTACTGGGATTAAAAACAAATGCATAGAGGGTAGTGATGGCACACGCCTTTAATCCCAGCACTCTGGAGGCAGAGGCAGGCAGATCTCTGAGTTCGAGGCCAGCCTGGTCTACAGAGCTAGTTCCAGGACAATCAGGACTCACAGAAAAACCTTGTCTTGAAAAGCCAAATCAAACAAAAACATACAACAAAATAGCCAACTCCTAGGCTTGCCTTGGATTTCTGGAACTGACTGAAGTGCTCTTTATATGTTGGGCATGGGACACACACATGTAGGCCCAAAAGACCCATTGTTGTACCCGGGCATCTGTACTGGCCTGCCCTTGGGGTTCTGACAGGATACACCCTCAGCTGCAGCCACTAAGAGCACCACCTGTACACATTCACTAATTCCCTTTTAAAAGGGCCCTGCCTACCTCCCATTTTTCTCTCTGCTTATCTGCCTGTCTCTCCATATCCCTCTCCCTCCATATCCCTCTCTCTCCCCCTCCCTTTCTCTTCTGCTGCTCCTGTCCCCAGAGGCCAGTCTCCTTTCTCCCCTCCCCTCTTTTCCCACCCATTAAAACAAAAAACTTTTCCCACTCATTAGAAAAAACCCTCCACCAAAGCTCTATCGCATGGTATCTTTCTCTTGGGAGCCTCTTTTTTAAATTACAACACCCAGTCCCCCAGTCCCCACTCCATAGTCAGAACTCACGGTATCCTTAACATTATAGCTTGAGGCTGCAGAGATGCCTCAGCGGTTCCGAGCATTTGCTACTCGTGCAGAGTTCAACTCTCGCTGGCCACAGGTGGTTCATAACAATCCGTAACACCAGTTCCAGATGCCCTTTTCTAACCTTGACCTTGAACCAGGCACCAGGCATGCATGTAGTACACATGCGTGCTTGTAGGCAAGACATTCATACATACAAAATAAAGTAACCTGAAAAGCAATAACAACAGAAAACCTTACAGCTGTTCCCTGGAGTGTAGATCCCACAAGGGAGCGGGACTAGCAAGAACACACAGAAGCGAAAGTCGGATGTGTCTCACAATGTGAGGTTGGGGGGAATGGCACGCACGACAGGTGCCTCAGTCAGAGTAGCACCACAGAGTGTCACAAGAGCACAGTGACAATCGAATGCACCTCTTGAGACACACAACATTCGTTGTCATCATTGCTTTCCAGCCAGCCTTCTCAGTGGTTGTCTAAGAAAACTCACACTGAATCCCACCCTCTGCTTTAGGAAAATGAGCCTGGCGTATAGACTCCCAAATACTGGAAGGGACCATTTTAGTAACTATACATACCGGTGAAAAGATAGCAACAACGCCTATGCTCATCAGGTGACACTCAGTGACCCAGCTAGTTAGTGCCCAGGAGAAGTGCTGTTTGCTGTCCTAGCTCCCCTAACCCTGTCAGGTCAGAGAAGGACCCCATGGGCTTTTTAGACTCAGATCTGCTCACTCCTCTTAACTTTCCAAGGTTTCTATCGTTTCTAGGGTGTGTTATGAACGAGCGACTTTCAGTCCAACAACCCAGACGTTCTTTCTCTCTGCCATTTGGCATGGGGTCTACCCAGGATACTATCTGACATTTCTAACAGGCGTGTTAATGACATTAGCAGCACGGGCTGTAAGTATCAACATTTTTGTTTTATAATTCAGTGAGTGAATCTTTGTTTCTTTGGCTGTGATCAGCATCATCTGTGCAGGAGAAGTTAGGCGTGTGACTGCTTGGAAGCAAGTGTTCACCCCATACCAGCCTCCACGCAACTGTATACCAGGAGAAACTATGCACCTGGTATGTGGGAAGTTCTTAAATTGTGTTATGTGTCTAATGACATTTTCTCAATGAGAGAAAATAAAGATGGATAGAATGGATAGGTCTGAACCTGGTGGTGGCTTTTAATCCCGTCACTCAGGAGGCAGAGGCAGGTGGATCTCTGTGAGTCTGAGGTCTACAGAGTGAGTTCCAGGACATCCAGGACTGTTAAACAGTGAAACCCTGTCTCAAAAAACCAAAAACCAAAAGAAACAAACAACCCCCCCCAAAAAAGAAAAACACCCAAAAATAAACCCAACAACAAAAAACTAAAACAAAACAAAACCAACCAAACGAAAAAGAATGGGTAGGTCTGTTCTTCAAAAATATTTCTGTTTTGTGGGCTGCAGCCCTTGAGTCCTCTCTCTGTTCAGAGTGGAGTTTGACCACTCCTAGGGAAGAGGATGGGTGGTTCCCATTGGAAGACATTGTAGATGTAGTACCATCCTGCAGAGTGTTTGCTTTGGGGAAACAAATGAGACAGCTTCATACTATGGGAGAGAAAAGGAGAATAAATTGGTATAAGTATTTGAAAATCAACTAGGGAAGCAATGTGTCAAACTGTGTGTTTTAACAAGCTTATTGTGGTGCCTTATGGGTAAAATAGCTTCATCTAACAACCTAGCAGATACTCATTTTGATGTACCCGAGGGAACAGCAAGAAAGAGTAACACAGGCTGTAGCTTCTGGTAGTCAATACCAACTGGAGCGTAGTGGGGCACAGATTGCATCTTAGGCATGCATCTGACATTAGAAAAGTTCGAAAGCCTTAGTGTATTTGGGAAATGGTAGGAAAATCTATTTAAGGCAGAGAGTTCGTGTGTATGTGAGTAGCGGATAGTTTTGGATAGGCGGTCGGTAGAAAGGAAGCAGGCGATGGTGAAGTCTCAACACCAGCCCAGAAGCTTGGTCCTCCTCTGTCCCTAGCATCAGGGAGTCAGGCGAGGCGCGGCTTGTTTCGTTTCCCTGGGGTGCTGATGAATGTACCTGGGGCCTCGAAATACAGATAAGCACTGTAGTGCTGAGCTACATCCCCAGTCAGTAAGGTTTTGCATCGTGGGGTGGAATGGTGCAGTTGTGCTGGAGGAAACGGGCTTGTTGATAACAGGCAGAATGGTAATGGCAGTTCGCACTCAAGTAGCATGCTACTCTACAGGCTTGAAGTCGTTGCTGTCACCAGTGTAATGTAATATATATCATATATAATCTAAAGATGTAGCAAATCTTTTCTGTGTCTTTTTCTTTTCAGGTGAGAAGTAACTTTAGACACTATTTCATTGAACCTCCTCAACTTAAATTATTTTATGACATCATAACGTGGGCAGCAACACAAATAACAATAAGTTACACGGTTGTACCGTTTGTGCTTCTGTCTATAAAACCGTCATTCACATTTTACAGGTAAGTGTTACCCTTCAGCCGCCCAGAGGAGTCGCTGTGCACACAAACAAAGTTCCATACTAACTGAATAGAATAACAGAATGTGTCTCAGTCAGGGTTTCTATTGCTGTGACAAAACGCAGTGACCAAAAAGCAAGCTGGGGAGGAAAGGGTCTGTTTGGCTTACACTTCTCTGCATCACTGTGCATCATTGTAAGAAGTCAGGACAGGAACTCAAGCAGGGCAGGAACCTGGAGGCAGGAGCTGATGCAGAGGCTGTGGAGGATGCTGCTTACTGGCTTGCTCCTCATGGCTTGTTCAGCCTGCTTTCTTGTAGACCAGGCCCACCAGCCCAGGCATGGCTCCACCCACCTGGGTTGTACCATTTCACTTCCGAGATTGAAAACCTTAACTGGCTGGGGATGTGCCTCAGTGCTACAGTGCTTATCTCTATTCGGAAGCCCTGGGTATACTCTTCAGCACCCCAAGAAAACAATAATTGAGAAAATGCTCACAGCTGGATCTCATGGAGGCATTCCCTCAACTGAATGGCTTCCTTCTCTGATGACTCTAGTTTGTGTCAAGTTGACACAAACCCAGCCAGTACAGAAACAGAAGATAATAATATCACAGCTACATTTCTGCCATTAAGTATATTATAATTTTCTTCTTAGTCCTAAACCAAGCAGTCCCAAGTTCCTTCATGGCGCAGCCGGTCCTGTTCAGCCCAAAGGTGGCTCTCTCAGTGGCACCAGCAGAGGAACCTGCCCCCATCCCAGGAAGACTTGGCTGTAGCCTAAGTGTCCAAAAAATGGCTAGAGAAGGAAAGGGGGCGTGCTTTACCTATTACTAATCAACTCAGTTTTTCTAGTCATAGGGAAGTATTTGCACTTACGGCCTCCTCCTTACTCTGCTACACTTGGCTGACAGCTGAGGTCCTCTGTATTTCAGAAGTTGCTGTCTGGAAGTCCGTGTTTTTTTCGTTAATCTTCCATCTGTCCCTGCTCCACCAGCGTCTACTCCTCAAAGACATGTTAACAATGTCTTTGGAATTAGAAGCTTGATTCTCTCCATTTCTTCATTTCTGTGGGGTTCGGTGACTTAGCACAAGAGTCCGTGGTCAAAGAATTAGAGGCAGACATTAGGATTGAGCTTGATGGCTGCACGGAAAAGACAAATGATTGGTCAAAGTGTCCATGTTAGCAGAGCTCATTCATTTCAAGTGTGGGTGGGCTGTTGGTTGGATTGTCTGTCCCATATTTCTTTTGTCAGTCACTTTGAACTTTCAGCTTAGGAAGCAATTAAGGTCCCATCAGACTCAGCGCTGATTTGGGGACTGATTTTCTGGTGATTTCTCAGGTATGACCTGTATTTGTGGAAGTCACCGACACAACAGTGTTTGTTACCTACGGCTCACATCGTTTCAGTCTTTGTAACTGAGTGACAGCAGGTTTGGGGTAGGCCAAACAGCGACTTGACTCTTCTCTTGGCTGTCCAGTGTTCTCTGGTGACCCCACATGTAATTTTGTGGCTGCATTCAGACTGATACCTCTGCTAATGAATGCCTTTCTGTTTGTGTCCTGTATAGCCTCATGACCCTCACCAAACACTGCTATGCTCTCAGGCTGGGGGGGAGGGTGGGGGGGGTCAGGGGAGGGATGTGGCAGCTATCCACACCCCAGCCTGCACTGCGGAGAAAAGGAGGGATAAATGTGGTGGGTAACCCCATCGTCAGGGCCCTGGGTGTTGGCAAAGGTGTGGCTGGTAAACTGTCTCCCCTTTCCTTTTAGCTCCTGGTATTACTGTCTTCACATCTGCAGTATCTTAGTGTTGCTGTTGCTGCCCGTGAAAAAATCTCCAAGAGGAAAGAGCACACAGGAAAATGTTCCGCTCTCATGGGCCAAAAAGTTTGACGAAAGAGAAAACTCTCTAGGACAAAACAGTTTTTCCACGACAAATAATGTTTGCAATCAGAACCAAGACGCGGCCTCTAGACACTCGTCTCTAACGCAGTGACTGGGAGAGCGTGTGACGGCTGTTTCCCGACTGTGAACAGAAACCAGTCCTGATGCCTTTCCAGACTAACTGGGTGGAGATGGGACAGTCTCAGATAGGGGATTTCCTATACACCAGATTGGAAATGGAATGAAATAACCCTTCCCATGCCAATGTTCCTGTGGGTCACGCCTTACACAAAATCCTTCTTTGTTTCAATAGGGCACTCAGAAGTCAGCGTATGCCCTCCAGGTCATATGTGTGCCCTGTTGTTGAATGTACATTGCGTATCCCAAGGCACTGAAGAGCTGGAAAAATGATCATGTCAATCTGGATAATTGAAAGGTTAACTTTTTCCAAATGAATGTCTTGCCTTAAACCTTCTGTTTCCTAAATTGTTGTTCCTGGGTGGTATTTTCAAGTGTAGTATCGTGAGGAGACAATTTCGCTATTTGATGTGGTGCCCTGCAGAGTGGGATTGAGGAGGAGGAGGAGGTTAAACTGGATATTTAAGATTATGGGTACTTGAAAAAGGCAATAAACATCTCAGTATTTGAAGGGTTTTCTTGAGGTAGCTCAGAGGGTTATCTATGTACATCGTAGAGTTGTAAACAGTCAGGGCAGTTAAATTACAGGTAGCTTATTCTGCTGGGAACTTAATTACCTGGTGTCAGTTAGGGAGCCCTTTCAGGAGGACTTTCTCAAACATAATTAAAGGTTGGCAATGTGATATTTTAGGCTTATTTTCTTAAAAGTAATAAGAGGGAAGCAGGCCCGAATGAAGAAAGCACTGTGTGGTCTGGAGCCAGAGGCTTCCTCCTTCTGTGTCCAAGATCAGTATGACTGTGTGGGACACAACAAGCTTAATAAGTGTGGACTCTCTGAAGAAGTTTCTCAAGCATAAATTACATAGAATTAGAAGAGATTATAAGAGTAACAGTGGTAGATTATTTGAAGATTTTGAAAGAAATCTCCAGTGATTAAGGTTATTGTATGGTTCATCAGCTTCTTGTCCCTGTCATTTTCATTGCTATTTGGGAAAGATTTAGGGGAAAGAAAACTTAGTTGCTGAGGCTAAATGACATTTTTAAAAAAATTAATAAATTAGTTTCTACATTCTTTAACTTCACGCATTAAAATTCTTCCGTTAAACTCTTGTTAAAATGGGTGTTAGATTCTATCAAAACAAATTTAAGTGTTTTCCTCTTAGGGGTCACTCTTGCCTTGAGTGACTGGGTATGTCTTTGATCCAACAGCAGTGTGCCGTGGGCTGTAGTAGCTGTAAGTGAGGGGAGGATTTGAGGCTGTGGAACTGAGCCATAGACTGTAGGTTCCACCTTGTTAGAGAGGAAGACTGGGGTTTTGGGCCTCTCTGTTATTTGACCAATCTTTTTGTGAAATTTGTTTTGCTTTTGCCTTAAATTTTCAAATGAAATGCAAATTATCAGTCTACAATGAGTTGATTTTGTTTGTTTGTTTGTTTTGGTCACAAATACACTTATGAGTAAAGTTTAAGATTTTAGTGGGAGAAGAAAGGTGCAGAGGTCAGTGTGGCATTCCTTCTAGGACTTCAGAGGTATGGGTGGCACCTTTGCTGTTTTGAAGGCAGATTGCTTGCTTCTGATTAGGAGAGCCAGCCCCCCACGTCCCCACTCCCAGGGAAAGGGCTCGGTAAATACTTTTTCTTAGTTTTCCACGTGTTGAAAGCAACCTAGCTGTAGAATTTGAGAGGAAAGGAAAATGTTGATGGAGAGTATCTGCCTGCAGATGTCTCTGACTTCATGAATACTGTGGAGAATCCACTCACTGTTAAAGAAAGCTATCAAATCCACAGCTTAAAAGGCAGCCCTAGGCATTGTATAAGGGAAGGCTGGAGACCCAGTAGAAACTACTGAAGGTTTGTGGTCTCTATCCAGCCGCTTACAAATCACCCCCATTTATTCCTGTTACCTGAACACATTTTATTTCTAGGCCATGTACACTTGAGTCACTGTTGCCTGTTTCTTCTCGAGGAATTTATAATCATAGTACTATCATTCAAAAAGCAAGACAATGATCATTGCTCTACTCCTGGAAGATGATACTTGGCACACATCCAGTTTGACTGATTTCTTTGTTTCATTCTTCTACAGCTACTAGTTACTGAAAGGGAAAAATTCATAGAAGTCTAAAATGTAGACTCCAAAGCCTATATAGGAAAAAGAAAATTTCCAAGCCTCTCCAAGCTCCCAAAAGGCAGTCTAAGATCATTTTTTTTTTGAGGGGCGGCAGGTGTCTGTCTTTTAATTTGGAGAAATAATCACAATTTTGGAATCTAAAATAAAATAAATCAAATTCTCAATTTTTTTCAAAAAACTATATTCTATAAAATGAACATCTAGTTGGGATGTTTGTAAAGATTGTTTTGCTCCTACTTAGAAGGATTTAGACTAACGTTTGGGCTACTGTTAATTATAATGTGTGCTTGCTGCGTCTTAAGCGGCAGAACAGGTTTCAGTGTGTGTTTATGTTGTTTTTCCTTCCCTTATACTTCTGTTTGATTATATACTACTCAGGGAAAATAGAACAAAAATATTCTTCCCTCAGTTTCATTTCCTTGAAACAATAATTGTTAATTTGGTGTGTCTCAGCTCACTGTTTTTAATGAGATCTCAGAGTGACTGGGGAAGCTTGATTAGCTTCTGGAATACCTAAAATTGGAGAGAAGGCTTGCTGGGCTTCGGGGGTGCCGATCACTGTGTCTTAGCATGCTGGTCCCTACCATGGATGATACCTATACAGGGCATTCCCACACAAGCCACTTTTGAAGTCACTATCTAGAAAAGTGACAATGGCTTCCTGTGAGTACTAACTGTCCTGGCTGGTCCTTTTGGCTCTTGCCTAAGGGAGGCCCACCGCTCAACTCCCCAATCCTGTAGGGTGAAGGGCAAAGAGAAGGGCAGGTCACTGTCTGCTGCTTTTTATTACTAGAGCTTAAGGTGCTGACTTAAAAAAAAAAGGTTGTCTAGCAACAGGAAGAATGCCTTTCAATCTATTAACTCAGAGTGTGTAGCAACATGCCATTTCTCCTTTGCTTTCTCTGGTTTCTGTTTCTGCTGGGTAAAACTGGAGAGGATTTATTTCACTAAACACGTCCCCATATATTGCTGGTTTTACTGGACAGGATTTACCAGCGTGTATCTCCTCAGCAATGAATTCATTCAGAGAATCTAGTTATTCTATCTTTTAAATGGCAGAAAACAATTTTAAATTGCCATCCAAATAACCATGACAGTTTTACTTTTGAAGAGTAGGTTAAACATTTAGGACCAATTCTTTTCCTGTTTAAAACTTGTACTTCCTCAGTGTTCAACTTGTATATTCATGAGTAAATCTGGGCAGTTGTACTTATGTTCATAAGTATCAGCTCACTGGCTCTAAGAGTTCTATATGATAGCTGGCACATTCTTGAGAGAATAGACTGGTCTAGAGTAATTGCCACTCCTGCGTCCACTGAGGATTGATCGGCTCAAATGCATAGTTATAAGCCAGTATTTTGAAGGGTTTTATTCAGGCTTTAATAGTCTACCCTGGCTGAAATTCAACACATCCAGTTTAACTGAGGTGCAGAATTCTAGCTTACACTGTGACTGTAACCTTACCTGTCCCGAGGACCATATATACCTGTTACACTCCACCAGTGGCATCTGAGGAATGGCTGATCATTTGTACACACTTGCCTTGGATGCTAAATTTCTGCTTCCCACTGCCCTTGGAAAAATGAGTTTGTATCAGAGGGGCTTCTGAATACGGAAGGAAGAGATTTGCATCTAAAACAAATCTACTCTGAATTTCGTTCGACGGATTAGGGTGTAGCCATTCTCTACAGTGATTTTTCTGTAACACCGAATAATCAAATCTATTTGTAGGAGTGACTCTCCTTACGGAATTTCCCACATTGATATTTTGTAAGGATGCTCTTGTAATCAATGACTCAGCTGCTTTTTAAGGCTCTTGTTGTACAGAGGGTGCAGCCCATTACGTTTTTAATTAGTAGGCTGCTCAATAATGTTTTGTATGTTCTCAGATAACAATTTATTTTAATAGGTTTTTAACACAATGCAAACTCCAGTGAAGAACCCTGACAAGATGCTTCATAGGTCATCGATTGGGGAGACTGTCAAACAGAACCGAATGACACATTTATACGCCAGCTAATTTGTCTTGCCTTTAAAACTGGTGGTGACTCTCAATGCCATTTTTTTATAAAGCAAGGGACAGCCTGTCTGGTCTATAAACAACACTTCAAAGATCTATTTAGAGCCACTGCCTGAAACTGATCCAGTTATACATAGCCACCTCTAGCTATGCTTTCCTGCATTTTGCTATCTTAATTAGCACTGGAATATAATGGAAAGCCAAAAGTCACAGAGCAAGGGGAAGTCAAATGACTAAGCAGCTTCTCAGATGCCTGCCTGGAACGGAAGAGTGGCTGGCTGCTGCCCTTTTCCTTCTGTATGTCTCTGCTCCCCACAAGGGCTCTGTTTTGGGCTAACTTATTTGGGAGGTTGTTTTGTTAACGATCTTCTCTGACCTTTCATGGGGAGGAGGGAACATGTAGAGTGTTTGACAGACTTAAAATATGTCTCTTTCCCCATTTTAAATGTCTTTGGTTCTGTCTACACCCGTCTGTCATTGAAGTTCATTTGTTGCTGACTTGATCACACTTAAAAAAGACTCCTGTCTTGAATGAAAATACAATCTCACCTGTCTTCTGTCACCTTTATGCAAGTGAAGGCGCCTCCACACCAAAAGGAGGCAATAGGGATGAAAGGGACTCGGATTCCTGTGACCCGAAAGTACCATCGTGTTAATGTGAAGGTGCCTGGCTTCAAATCTGCCTTCCCTTGCAGCTGGTGACGGGCAGAGTCCTCCTGACCAGAGAGGATCCTTAGCTCCCACAGCCAGTGTTCACGGTATTTCCCTTTGCCTTCCCAGGTGGAGAACATCATGTTGTGGTCTGTGCTTTTTTTGTTTTGATTTTATTATTCCAAATTATTTTTTTAAAAATATTACTTTTCATCCGATCCACAAATCAGTTCTCATTGTGTGGCGAGTTAAAACCATCACTGTGTCGGCTAAGCTGTGCGGTGATGAACCATAGCCACTTCTGGTGTCCTCAGAGCTTCACGGTGGCTTCTTGCTGGCTTTTAAAGGTGTTTTTAACTTACATGGTTTTTTTCCTTATTTGTGTGTCTTTAAAACTGATTAAACGGTAGTTTAAAAGAACCCATGTATATGTTTGCTTATTTCAGAGGTTAAATCGATCTATGGGTAGATGACCCAGAGAACAATCAATGTGAGCGAATGCTTTTTGTCATTGACTCTTCAACTACTTAAACATTGTTTCAGTGAAGTTTTTATTGTCATGTGTGGGGAAGCACATGTGCCATGTTGCTTGTATGTATGGCCAGACGACAATATGGAGTATATGGAGTCTGTTCTCTCTTCCTTTATGTGGGTTGTGACCATTGATTGACCTTGGGTCTTAAAGCTCGCCCTCTGAGTCATCTCACTGACCCTCAAGTGTTAGAAAACTCTATCATATATACTTCCGGAAGGTAGCTAAAACCACTCTAAGTTGGTATGAAGATCTACTAGCCTACAATAGACTAATCATTACAGGAGGCTTCGGGCTTCCTAGTTTGGAAGGAAGAGCTGACTTTAGGGCACCCTGGCTGCCTCTCTCCCACCTGTGTCCTGACTCAGCCTTTGCTTCTGAGAAGCTGTGCTGAGTTCTCACTGGATAGGCAATGTCTCTATCCCAGTAACCCGTAGAGCCTTCAGTGAGTTCTTGAGGCATTTTCTTGATTGCACTGTGGAGAACAGGGGGGGGAAATATATTAACTTTTACTTTAAAAGAGTCATTTTATGTGTATGGTCTGTACCACATGAGTGCCTGGTGCCACAGAGGCTAGAAGGTGGCTTTGGATCCACGACTAGGGTTCCAGATGGTAGTGAGCTGCCACGTGGGGGCTGGGAGTCAGACCTAGATCTCCTTGAAGAACCAGCGGCCTTTGCTCCTAATTGCTGAACCATTGTCTCTCCAGTCCTGCTACACTAACGCTTATTGTTGATTTGAGATGCTGGGTTGACCATTCAAAGAAATCCTCTGTGGAACACTTGGGAATAGCAGTGTATTGTCGCCACCCGTCCCCCCTCCCCTCCCCTCCTTTAGTTACCTTTCAAAGTATGTATGGCAGTGCCTTCAAGGACTGCTTAAGTTAGGCTAAGAGTGAAAGTAGTTTGTGTACAGAATCGCCGTGCAAGTGCCTGGTAAAGGCGCAGGCAGGCTGGGTAAAGGAGAAAGGATCACCTCCCTGGTCTTGGATGAGCTATGCGGTGAGTAGCATTGTGAGCAAAGCCTCAGAGCCCCACCCCCACCCCCAGCACAAAGTGCCTGTGCAGTGGGAGGAGGAGGCAGAGCCGGGGGAGTAAGGATACTTCCAGGAGGCCTCGGCTCCTCTCTGCTGCACTGGGTTGCCAGGACTAGTGCCTGGCTGGAGAAAGAAAAAAAAGCTAGGTCAAGGATTCTCCAGTGTGTAAGCCATGGTAGACTAGGAACAGCAGGAGTTGAGACGGTTTATTCTGCCTGCAATTTGCTGACCTATTTAACAGTAACTTTCCCCCGAGTTAGGAACAGGAATAGTAGGGAAATAGTTTAGCCTTTCATTGTCTAAAAGCAGCTCAAGCCTGTAGGTACGGAACACGCCCGCATTGAACAGATGTTCCTGTTTTTACCACAGCAGAGTCCTATTCTTCTTGAGGGCTAGGGATGGACTGCAGGGACATGTTCTTGCTAGGCCAGTGCCCCACTACGGCTCTGCACTCTGACCTCACTTTTCATAAGAGTATTCCACACAAGGCCTGCACGCCTACCTGTGATGCTTAATCTTTGTCAGCCTGACTGGGTTTAAATTCCTCTGGCCATGTCTGTGAGGAACACCCACTCTGATGTGGGCAGCTAACATGTCAAGGACTGGCATCCCAGAATCAACGAGAAAGTAAACTGGGCTCAGTGTTTTATCTCCTGTCTGCCCCTGATTGCAGACACAGTGTGATCAGTTGTGCCCCGCCCTCCTGCCGTGATAGACAGTGCTCTCAAACTGTAAGCTATAATAAGCCTTCCTCTAATTGCTTTTAGTGGGATATGTTTGTCATAGAAACCAAAAGTGGCCTACCACCTGTCTGTCTCTCTCCCTCCTCAGAAGTTAACAGTGTCTGTGTGAGCCCGGGTAGGCTTTTCATTCACAATGTGAATTTTAAAAACAATGTTTACCTCCCAGCCTTCCTAGGTTTGGTTGTGTAGGTTGTGCTAGTTCCAGCTACTTGTTGGTGGAACCAAGTATCAACTTCAGTTTTTAAAGTCATTAAATACTTTTCTTTGCTGGTATCATCTCTTACTCTGTATCTCTCTTATTGTTTTATGCTTGAGTCTTTGTCACAACCTCCAGAGCACAACGGGGCATCGTAGGTCGGCAGGGAGCAGACTGGAAGGCTGAGCAAGACAAAGACAGAAAGGCTGTTATGTAAAGAGAGGCTTTTTCCTTGAGAGAAGCCTTCCCGCCAGCCTGGTTCCAGAGCCGCATCAGTCCCAAATAAACGCACAGGAGACTATATTAATTATGAAGCTGTTGGCCTTGCTTGTTTCTTACTGGCTAGCTCTGACTTAAGTATTTATCCCATAAATACTTCCATAAATGCTATTCTTACCGGAGAGGTTTCCGGGCTTCCTACCCCATGGCGTTACATCTCGACTCTTGGTGTTTCTCCTTCCCAGAGTCCTTCTGGACTCCTAGTCCCACCTATCTTGGTTCGCTATTGGCCAACAGTGCTTTATTGACAAATACACAGGACTTCCCCAACAGGCTGTGGTCCTGGGATACTGTCACTGGCTGCTGTCTCTTTCTTCCAAGTGTGTGTGTGTAAGAGTACACACAAGTACATTCCAGAAGAGGATGTTATCCTTGGTTGCCATCGCTTTTCCTTTAAATGGTGTGTGTGTGAGAGAGTGTGTGTGTGTGTGTGTGTATATGTGTGTGAACCTGTGTGTGAACTTGTGTGTACGTGTGTGAGTGTGTGTACGTGTGTGGGTGCACACATGCGCATTCAAGTGAATGCCACACAAGAATGCTGAGTATTGTTCTCTATCACTCTATTTCTTCCTTTGAGGCAGGATTTCTCCCTGAATCTTGGGCTCCTGCTCTCTTGGCTGGGTTAGAAGCCAGCAAGCTTCAGGGAACTTCCTGTTCCGTGTCCCGCCCCATCGCCTCCACTCAACCCTACCCCTGCCTATAGCTGAGGCTGTAGGCTATAGCAGGACACCTGGCTTGTTAAAATGTGGGTGTTTATTATATGATATGGGTGTTGGGATCCATTATAATTTATACACAGGTATTCTTAACTGCTGAGTAATTTCTCCAGCTCTGTCCAATCTTTTTTTTTTTCCTCATCATAGTAAATAGACGTGCACCATTCTTACAGCATTAACATGAGGGTTGCTATATAAGCAATTTGAACTAGTTGCTGCCTGATTATGGCCATTATTGGGCAAGTGAGCTGCACAGCACCCCAGAGGTTGTGGGAAGTTGAGTTCGGTAATGCCTGAGTCATTGGCTTCAAGAGGACGTTAGTTCACATGACCTTAGAGTCAGGTTTCCTGGAGGGCTTGGGAGGGAACAAGATGGCTAACAAGGAACAGAAACCTATCTTATGGCCCTCAGGCTTTTTGTTGGTTAACACAGCGTCTCTTCCCCAACACCTGAGTCTCTCTTACAAGACTTATTTTGGGGCTTTTTGTTGAAGAACTTGCTGGTTCCCAGTCTTGCTTGATTCTTATAGTTAAGCATCTTCACACCTTGATCTTTCTAGGTTCCTGTGTCGTATCTTGCTTCTCTCCAGGCATCTCTGGATAGTTGTTCTATCTTCAGCTTCTGTTCTCTAACCCTCTCTCATATTCTTGGCTTCACCATAATTCCCTCCCTGCAACACACACGCTCGCGCACACACACGCGCGCGCGCACACACACACACACACACATACACACACACACACACACCTTTCCCTGTCTTGCTCAGCCTATCTTCCTCTCCATTACCCAGTGAGTATATACCCGCTCAATATCGCTACCTGGAACACAGGTACCTCTAGCGCAGCACATCTAAAAGTAGACCCCAATCCATTTGATTGTTCTGGAAGCTTGTACACTCTCCTGTTGCTAGGATTAAATGTCATGACTATTTTCCTGGTTACGCACATACCATCCTTGACCTCACCTACCCCAGACAGATCTCTCCCTGAATCTGGGGCTCTTAGCTGCGGAGAGACCCACCTCCCCAGGGGTAGAAAAGCAACCTCCCAATCTCCATTCTTGTCTTCTCTAGCCCCTTCATATGTTCACACTATCAGGATGTTCTGCCTAAACTAAGAGTCCATGTCACCACAGAGCCCCTCAAATACTCGAGTCAAAAATAAACCCTTCTCGTCTTACATGGTTTGTGTCTGATATCACAGTGACACAGACATGACTTGAACAACAGCTGTCCATCACTCCTCAAGGCAAACATCCCCAGTGCATCCCTGTAATATTTTATTTTTATTTTATGTACATTGGTGTTTTGCCTGTACATATATCTGTTTGAGGACATAGGCTCCCCTGGAACAGGAGTTATAGACAGCTGTCAGCTGCCATGTGGGTGCGTGGAATTGAACCCAGGTCCTCTGGAAGAGCAGCCAGTGCTCTTAACCACGGAGCCATCTCTCCAGCCCCCAATAGTTACTTTTCTTACTGCAGGGGGTTTATTTCAACTGGCTGTCAGAGGGTACAGGGAAGGAAGGGCTTGAAGCAGCTGGCCATCTCCATCAGCAGCTGGGAAGCAGGGAGCCAGGGATGCTGATGTTCAGGTCACCTTATGGGGCTCCAGCCTGTGAATGTGCTACCCATAGCCAGGGCGGGGTTTACCAGCTCATTTAACCCAATCTAGAAACTTCCTCATAGACATCCCCAGAGATTTGCCTGGGTGGTTCTAGGTCCTGCTGACAGTTAACATGAACTGTCACAGCCAGCAGCACCGCTCTTCTCTTCAATGCTGTTTAGAGTTGGTCAATTAAGTTTATGCTTCTCTGATTAAGAAGCCAGATAATTCCAAGCAGTGATAGAAGGGGAGCTGACACTTCAGATTTTTATGTGTTTTCTAAATTCTATGTAATGAACACATATTCTTTCTATTTACTTTTAAAAGTATTATATAGCCAGATGTTGGTGGTGCACGCCTTTAATCCCAGCACTCGGGAGGCAGAGGCAGGCAGATCTCTGTGAGTTCGAAGCCAGCCTGGTCTACAAGAGCTAGTTCCAGGACAGCCTCCAAAGCACAGAGAAACCCTGTCTCGAAAAACAAAAACAAAAAAACCAACAGTATTATATATATATATATATATATATATATATATATATATATATATATATTTTAACTCTACTGGGGGAGGGGCCAGTGGGTGTGGGTATCAGGAAAGGGAGGAAGTCACATCCCCTGGAACTGGAATTTATAGGCCACTGTTAGCCTACCAATGTAGGTGCTCTGAATTGCTGAGCTATTTCTCCAGTTGCACACATCTTCTTTATAATCGTAGAAGAGCAACACTGTAGATAAGACTGCCCTTGAATCGACAGCAGTCTTCCTGCCTCAGTCTCCTCTAAGTTTTGGAATTTCAAGAATGAGCTATCATACCAAGAAAGAAAGCCAAGAAAGAACAATTTCAGAGCAACCCGGTATGCAAGGCATGTTGAGATTTGTTTGCGGAAAATATGCTCGACAATGAAATTGAAGCCACGAAGAAAAACTGGACTGCTGAAGTCATCAGGTCAGTATGCTGATGCTATGGAAAAAGAAAGGATCTGAGGGCGGTCAAATTACAGCCTTGAGGGAAAGAATGGCCAGGGGTGGAAAGATAATGCCCGTTTTTCCTTCTGCATGAAAACACATGACAAGGAGGTAAGCCAAGCCAAAAGTCCATGATTCAGAGCCTTGGGGTGTTGAGTGATTCCGGAAAGGTCTAGGCAGGCTACAGGAACCAGGGAAAGGTTAAAGAGCACTGGAAGGGGCATGTCTTGGAGATGAAACAGGAGGGAGGGTCTTAGTTCTGCAGTAGTTCCCCTGCAAGATCGGGTGTGAGCTTCCGTGCTGTGGCAGGGCTGGTGAATGCTCGTCAAAATGGGACATTTCTCTTCGTGAGGCAGGAGGCGATGGACAGAAGTTTGCAGAGTAGCCCTACCAGGACTGCCCTGATCTGATGTTGTCTAGTCATTTTTTGTTTGCTTTTTTGTTTTTGTTTTTTGAGACAGGGTTTCTCTGTATTGTTTTGGAGGCTGTCCTGGAACTTGCTCTGTAGACCAGGCTAACCTCGAACTCACAGAGATCCGCCTGCCTTTGCCTCCCAAGTGCTGGGATTAAAGGTGTGAGCCACCAATGCCCGGCCATCTAGTCATTTTAAAGTCATTAAAATTCTTATTTTATTGCAGAAAAGCCTGTTTTTATATTTGAAAAAAAATCTAAGAGGTTCCCTGCCTCCACCCCCCACTCAAATTAAGACCCCGACAGTAGCTATAAATAACATCAATCTTATTTGGTGGGGAGTGGAATGAGACCGACAGCGGGTAGAACTCAGGAGGTGGGAACTAAGGCAGGTGGAACCTAGGAAGGAGTCCTGTGAGTGGGAAGAAGACTAGGAAATTGGTGTCACGTGGCCCTATGCTAATGGTGTCCAGCAGAGGTATACAGGGATCGTTCATGGTGGCATTTGGTGACCATGCAGAGACAATTTCTGCAGAGGTGTGGGGAGTAGGGGGACCTGAGGGAGATGGTGGGTCTTCAGGGAGCTGCAGGGAGGAGGTGCAGAGAAGCGCTCTTGGGATAATGGCACAGGAAGGCAGACATCTGGCTCCTGGGCCATAGAAGGAGGAACTGAGCTGCCTTGGTTTGCAGGAGTGGGCAATGCCTTCCAAAGTTGTCGTTTATTTCTCTGAATGATTGCTTATAATGTCAGGGATGGGTTATAAGTTGACTTTCATAAAAGTGAATGACAGGAAAAAATATTGCCTGGGGCACTTGTGAAAAATACCCGTGGTGGCACAGGTCGACTGGGAGGTGGAGGCAGGATCCTCCGGGAACTTAGGGTCATCCTTGGCTACGCAGTGAGTTCGAGGCCCTGCCTGGACGTCTTGACTCTGTCTTAAACAAAACAGGGCGTCTAAGCCCAAACCAATCAACCAACCAACCAACCAACCAACCAAGCCTCCATCCGCTTAAACAGAGGCGGTGCAGAGGGCAGCTGGGAAGCGCAGCACTCTCTTAGGCACCCGCCGCTCCTCCTACACCGCCCCGGGAGGCGGGGCCCCCGAAGCCCCGCCCATCACGCGGTCACGTGACCTGTCAGTTCCTGAGTCTCCGGAAAATGGCCGCCGGGCGTGGTACCGGCTCGGCGCTCGCAGCTGCGCGCTCTCGGCGTCGTGTCCTCTGACAAGGTCTGAGGCGCGGCCAGCCGGTTCTGCCGAGCCCAGGGCGCCGTTCCGGGCCAGGCTGTGATACGGTCAGTGCGGAGGCGGCGAGGCCGGGTGAGGGAGGGCAGCGAGAGTCCGAGGCGAACGGGCGGGCCGGCATAGCGGGCGAGTCTACGGCCGGCACGGGTCAGGGCTGGTGACCGGAGGCCGGTGCGGGGCGTCGGGGCCGGGAGGGCGAGCTCGGTGCGGTCGGGCGGGGCGCTCCGGTGCGGCGCTCCCGGGTGGGCACTGCCGGGGACCCCGGGCCCAGGCTGTTTTCGTGGCTGTCACTCCCATCACCTGCCGTGTCCCCTCCGCAGGTGCCGCGTCCCCGTTTCTTTGCTCTCCAGAGAGGAGATGTTGTTGTTTTCTTCTGCGCTGCACGGCCCCATTGTCCTGGGCAGGCTTGTAAACGCCTTGCAAAAGACCTCGGCAAGCCCCTGGTTAGGACGCGTCCATGTTTGCTTTGTCAGCCAGCAGTGTAGGGATTTCTTTCTTTTTTTTCAGCGTGTCTTCCCCCTTTCTGAAGGGTTTAAGCCGGTTTAGGACATTTTCTTATTAATACCTGTTTCATGGCTCTCTCGGTTCCTTAGAGGTGCTTGCAGCGTTCTCTGCTTTTCAGAGGCTCCTTTGGTGTGGGGTGTGGCTGAGGGCAAACCTCCTGGAGGTGATTCTGATAGGTTAGTCTCTGCTCATATTTTGACACCACGAAAAACAAGGCATCTTCATTAAAAGGAAGGATTCACACTTTTTTTTTAAAGGGAGGTTGGGTGCAGAGACAAGATTGAAAAGTGCAGTTTCAAGGTGTGTTCTTTGTTCTCCAGCTTTACAAGGACACGTTGTTTTATCGGACTCATTTTGGGGGCCTTGTTAAAAAATCTGTTTCTGAGCTCCACCACACATCTGCCAAGATGGGACTTTCTGGGTAAGCCGTGTATGCAGTGTTGACACGCTTTGCAAATAATTGACGGGCACCATCGGCTTGAGGATCCTTTTAGACAGTCTGAGAGTGGTTTCCAAACTTCTCATTGGGCTCTCATTTCCAGAATTTCTCCTTCCTTCCTTCCTTCCTTCCTTCCTTCCTTCCTTCCTTCCTTCCTTCCTTCCTTCCTTCCTTCCTTCCCTTCCCTTCCCTTCCCTTCCCTTCCGTTCTTTCCTTCCCTTTCGATAGGATCTTTTTTTGTTGTTGTTATTTTGTTTTTTTTTTTTTTTCGAGACTGGGTTTCTCTGTGTAGCTTTGGCTATCCTGGAACTCACTCTGTAGACCAGGCTGGCCTGGAACTCACAGAGATCTGCCTGCCTCTGCCTCCTGAGTGCTGGGACTAAAGGTGTATGCTATCTCCACCCTGCTGATTGGCTCTTTATACATGGCCCTGTTCTGCTTGGGCCTGACAGAGATCAGCTTGCCCCTGCTTGCCCCTGCTTGCCCCTGCTTGCCCCTGGGAGGGGCAGGGGAAAGGCTTGTGCTTTTTCCATCACATCAGGCTGGAATCCAGCTCTTTAAGGACACTTAGATGTTCATAGTGGCCAGAGCACTCTACAACCCACTCAGTACCTGCTTTACATGTCGACACATGTAAAGAGATATCTGCTACCCTTCTTCCTGTACTTTCCCGTCTCCTACTCCCCCTCTCCCCTTTCTCTCCATCTCCATCTGGTAGCAAGCATGAGTGCTCTTGTGCTGGTGTTCAGAGTAATACTAACATTGCTACCTATTTTTCTTTCCAAGTCACATGGTTTGCTATTATTTTTTTCCATCTAGAATATCTATGGATATTTTGTGTAACCAGAAATTCAAATATTGGGTATTTTATTTTGTTGAACTTAATGTCTTCCATTTCTGTTCCATTTTTTACTGCCTGATCCCATTCCTGTAGGCTTCTGTTTTGTCCCCTAACTCATGCCCAGAGTTCTGGTTCTTGTTTTTTCCTATTCTGGGTTGTGTATACATAGACTGCTAAATTAATTTTTCTGTGATCCTGCTTTAGCCTATCATCCCCTCTTCCAGCTTTTGCTGGAGAAGGTCAGGTTTGGCTTTTGTTTTTGTTTTGTCACTGAATTCCTGAATGGTTAGAAACACTTTCTGGGGTGAGGAGAGATCAGGATGTTGCGTAGCTCCATGATCTGTTTCTCAGTGGCCAAACTGTCTCCCTTAGGAAGAGGCTTCTCTGTTGATGTCTGTAGTTCTCCTTCTCTGATGACTGGGAGCTTACACATCACCCATAGTGACAGGCACAGTTTCATCCCACTCTGGACTGGTCCAGCTTATCTTCTGAGTGTGACATGTACAGACTGTTTACACAGCCTGCCCATGGCTAATGGTAGGGAACATGCTGTTGAGAGTGACAGGGGGCCTGTCTGTGGACAAAGACCCCCCTGCAGAAGAGGCATCCTTTGTGTACCTATGTGTTAATCAACTTGACAAGTCCTCATGAGATTCTGCTTGCTGGCTGTAGGCCTGTAATAGGTTCTGAAGACAGACGTAACAGAGTGGAGACAGCCCTTAAACGCAGTGAGATAGAGGTCTAAACCATTGTGGACTTTGAAGCTATAGCTGCAAAGCATGCGGGACGTGTTTTGGCTTGCTGGGAGTTTAAACACTGGCATTCCGTGTCGATGAGCATGGGCAAACTCATGATTCTACCAAGACTGGGTTGGTTCTACCGTATGCCAGGCACTTCTCCAACTGTTAGAAACTGAGCAGTGAACGGAGTCCTTATTCTTCCTGAGTTCTTTGCTGGGGTAGGGAGAACGGGATAAGTAAGCAAATAGTGTGTTGAGTCATGCTAAGTGCTCTCCGGAATAAGACTGAGTGGTGGAACAGTGATAGTGGGGCGGGTGAGAGCAGTTTTATACTTAGTGGCTGGGGAGCTCTGCATCAGCTAGCGTTTGTACAGAAACACAAGATGACCTGAATAAAGTGAAGTAGAGAGCGGTAGGAGATGAACCTGTGGAGGAGGAGGAGGAGAGGTTTGAGGGACAGATGTGAGGCTGGAGCCAGGAGGCCATGCAAGAATGTGACACTGTGTTTTAGTGTAGCAGCGAGCAGCGCTATAAAATATACAAATTTTAAATAGTTGGATGCCGCATGTGTAGTTCTTAGCCCCACTCTCTTCGTACAGCATAAGCATTTTCCAGTTCATACAGGTTTCAAAGCTTACCGATTCCCTGTGTGAATTTGTCACAGTTTGTGCACCCCTAGGTTTAAATGTGTGTGCTTGTGTGTCTGCCTGAGTTTGTGTGTACCGTTTGCACTTGGAGGCAGGCTCCCCTGGAGCTGGAGTTGTAAGAGAGCCTGAACTGGGACGGAAACCCAGACCCTGTGTGAGAGCAGTAAGTGCTCATCCTCCTCTGATCTTTGTTCTTGTGAATAAAGTTTGTGATATTTAAAATCTTTAGCCACATTTTTCCTGGTTTTAGCATTGCTTCCTAGGTGTAAAATTATTGGATCAAATAATTTGCTTAAAATAAGGCATATTGATATAATTAATTTCCATTAATATACCCTTTTTGGGGTATGGATTTGAATTTTAACGGTTCCTGTGATTATGAAACACCAGCTAAAGCAGAGACTATCAACTCTCCAATTCTCTTGCATTCCTCTGCAGTGTCTCACCTTTTGTCTTGTCCCCTAGCAGCCCCCCCCCATGTGCTCCTGTCCCGTCCAGGTAGTTTTTGTTCCAGGAGGTCTTATTTACATGGACTCATACAGCACAATAGTGATTTCTGCCCTTTAGTCCCCAAAGTAGACTTGCTTCCTTCATATAAAATTCGAACTCTATCCCAAGGACCCCAGGGATCTCAGCTCCTCATAGCATCAACTCACTTAAGTCCCATTGGCTCAGAAAGTTCTCATGCAATCTTCTAAATCCAGCATGAGTGAGGAGGGCGGTGACACAGTCGTCCCAGACAGTCTGTGAGCCTGTGGAACTCAGACAGTCAGACTGCCACTCCTATCTGTAATGTCATCACTGGGAGGCAGACGAAGGAGGGTCTAGTTTGAGGCTAACCTAAAATATGTATTAAGAGCCTGTTTCAAGACTAGAAACAAACAAACAAAAACTAAACAACCAAACAAAGAAACAGGTTATCTGGTCCTAAGTAGATCAGAAGGAGCAGTTTAATTCTCCTAGCAGAGGTAAAGTCTTTTTTTCCTTTTTAAAATTTTGATGAACCCCAGTCTATCAGATTTCTTCTTTTTTATGTACTGTGCTTTTGGCTTTATATCAAGGCAGTTTCCTTAATCAGAGGTTACAGAAACAGTGTGCTTTCTTGCAGCAGTTTTGTGCTTAGGGTTACACGTGGGTTAGTTTTCAGTTAGCATCTGTAGAGTGGGCAAAGTGGGGACTGATGGTTTTATATTTAGATGTCCCTCAAGTAGAATGCAGTCTACTTAAAGCAATTTTAGGATATACTAACTTATTTGACAATTTAAAGTGTATATACAATGTATCTTGATCACACCCACTCCCCCCCTCCACTTCCTGTAGACACACTCCAAGTTTCTACTTTTCCCAGTTTACCCCCTAGTTGTGGTGGTGCACACTAAGCAAACGGGGTGCTTTTGTTTCCGTGGAAACCGGCGGGGAGCAGGGAAGTGGTCAGGGGGCTGGAGTTCGGGGTTACTGTGGGGCAGCTGCAGTTATTACTCTCATACATCCTGTGGTAGGCTACACTTTCTCAGAGCATGGCCAGCAAGAATGAGGGACCAGCTATGGGCACATCTGACGAAGAGAAGTGTAGCAGCAAGCTGAGCACAGATGCCTGGGTGGGATGCGGCATGATCATATGGTGACGGAACTGAGGGGGGGTTGTAGGACCATACTGTCACAGGTGTTAAGTAGGTGAGAGGCCACACCACTTACTCTGCTGAGATGGAAACATTTGATTTTTCTGTCCTCCGAGAAGCAAAAGGATTCAGCTGAACTCAGTGTGGTCACCTACATGCTGGTCAGAGATGCAGACCTACTGAGTCAGAGGTTCTGAGAGGAGGGCAGGGGTCTGTGCTGTAAGCCCTCCCAACGCTTCTGATGCATCCGTGCCTAAGGGTTCTTTATTTCTGATTGATAAGTACAAACTGCATATACTTATGTTTCCATGTGTGCATATATTGTGGAATGACCAACTCAGGCTAATTAACTTGTTCATCACCTTATGTAACCGACTCACTTGGCTACTTTGAAAAACACCATGTGCTGTTGATAGATCATAGATATAGACTACAGCACCTTTTGACCTGGTTCAACTAAAACTTTGTACTTTTGGACCAACATCCCCTTTTCTGTTGGTACCCACACTCCTGTAGTTTCTGCTAGCTCATTTAGAAGCTCGTTGTGGATGCTTCATAGACAGGGAGGAGGCTGTCTATAAAGGAAGGCTGAGTGGAAGCAAGGAAACCAGTTAGGAAGCTGTGACATAACTCAGGGTGGCTTGTAGACTGGTAGTGATGGAGGCAGTGACAGTAGATAGGAATTACATCTTATAGATAGAGCTAGAAGGACTTGCTATTTTAAATTGGTTATATGTTAGATTCAGTATCATGTAAGAAGGAGGGCTAAGTCACAGGTACTTCTAAGGCCTGGGCCCTGGAAGGATGGATCTGGAGCTGATGCAAGCCGAGATGGGGTCAGCAATAGGCACAGTGGAGCACCACTCCCTTGCGCTCGGCATGGTGGTGATGAAGCTTGGTAGCATCTGGCTTGGGTTTTGGATGAATTGAGTTTGATATGCGCTTTGAGTCTGGGAAAGGACATCTTGTCAGCATTCTGACAATTGAAGTGTGGGGAGTTTATATTTTTACCACCGGAGGTGTGTCTGAACATATTTAAGGGTAAAACTGAAGGATAATTAATAACAACTTTGTTTATTCCTAACCAGAAATATATGTTTTGTCTGACTTCTTTTCTACAGGTGAAATAAAGTCGGCTGTAGATTCCTGAGAAAATGTCGGTTCTGATATCACAGAGTGTGATAAATTATGTGGAAGAAGAAAACATTCCTGCCCTGAAAGCTCTTCTGGAGAAGTGCAAAGACGTGGACGAGAGAAATGAGGTGAGGCTGAGAGTGAGTTCCTCACGCGAGCGTGCCCTGTTCTCGCACACGGCGCTGTGCTAAGGATGAAGATGGGGGTAGGGTTCTCTGCTTCCACAGACGGGTTCCTCATGCAACTTCATGTTGGAGTATTTCTGATTCTGTGTCCTGAAAGTATTTTTAGCTCACATAAATTGTTGAATGTAGGCTGGTTGACTTCACCTTGACAGAATAGTAAGTATTCAGGGGGTTTGGTTCTTTGAAACCACAGTGCCTCTAGGAAGCTTCATAGTCTAAGACCCCCTCTCTCTTCATATAGGCCAACCAGACTACATGTTTTTTCAGTGAAGTCTCAAATCTTCCTGAGTTGTTCATCTCACACACTCTGGGATGCTCGATGCTGCATGTCTTAGAGGGTATTACATATGCTGTGTTACTGTTTAGTAACTAATTAGTAAACCTACCTTAGATACCTTAAACATGTCATCAGATGTAGTGTGATGTTTGAAAGCTATTTGATGGGACATTTTAGAGAATAATAAAATTTATCTGTCAAAGTATGTGTTTATCTTAATAAATCTTAATTTTTTACATTATTTTATGTATATGGGTATTTTACCCAGCATGCAGAGGTCAGAAGAGGGCACTGTAGTTAACAGACAGTTGTGAGCCACCAGGTGGGTGTTGGGAATTGAACCCAGGTCTTTTGGAAGAACCACTGGTGCTCTTAACCACCAAGCTACTTCACCAGTCCTCTTTTTCCTTTTTTCAATGCTAGCGGTGAGCCCATGGCCTCATACATGCAGGGGAAGAGCACTACTGCTGAGCTGTATCCATAGCCCTACAATTGATACTTTTTATTTTTATTTAGCGCGCGCGCGCGCGCGCGCGTGTGTGTGTGTGTGTGTGTGTGTGTAGGTCAGGGGGGAAACAACTTTCAGGAGTTGCTTCTCTACTATCATGTGGGGCTTGGGGATAGAATGAGGTTGTCAGGCTTGGTGGCAAGTACCTTCATCCACTGAGCCATCTTTTCTCATAAAATTTAATCTTGGAACAGGATATGGCGGTGAACTCCTTTAATCTCAGCACGCAGGAGTCACAGGCAGGCAGATCTTTGTCTGGTTTAGTAAGTTTCAGATAGTTAGGCTATATACTCATTTACCTTTCCCCAAAAGCAAACAAAAATCATCATTATTATTTTAAACTGTTGGCCTGGGAGGTGTAGCTATTTAGTAGGATGCTTCCCTGGCATGAGCGAGGAGGCCCTGTGTTCAACAGGACTAAGAATAATCCAGAGTTTCACATAGTGTTAGAGTTTTCCCTTCTTTCTTGTCTTTAGAGTATTTAAGCTCTTCATCTTACTGTGTTTAGCTTATCATCTTTATTACATTTTATTTATTGTGTGTGTATGTGTGTGTGTGTGTGTGTGTGTGTGTGTGTGCGTGCCCGCGTGTGCCATGTTACCCACGTGGGAATCCTAAGACAGACTGAGAATTTGGTTCTCTCCTTCCACTATATAGGTCCTGAGACTCTGACTCAGGTCTCCACAGCCCTTGGTCATCATTCCTGAAAAGGATTCTTACATATTATATCAGCGAAATAAAATAATATATATGTGTGCACAATCACTGACTCTGGGTTCTTTGCCTCTTTTGTTTTGTTTATAAACTAGATAAGTCTCAGTTTATGACTAGTTCCATCTTGGAGAGCAAGGTCACCTTTCCTTGGAGTGGAGGAGGGCTGGGTGGTAGGGAGTATTGAGACTGGACAAAAAGTCCACAAAATACCATTGAGCTAACTTTGTGTTGGCCAAGTCCACCTGGGTATGCAGCTTGCCTAGAGTTAGGTCAGTAGATCCAGTGACACGCCATGGAATAAAATTGGTTTTCCCTTTGCCGTCTGGTACCAATTGTAGATGTCTTCTTAGTTAGAGGTGAGAGCTCTGTCTACTTTGCTCTCTTAGTTCTGTGACCCCAGTTGTCTTGAACCTGTGCAGGTCTAGTACATGCTGCCAGTTTCTGTGAGGTCATGTTGCACATTGCTTTTTAGAACCGTTGCTGATCAAATTTAATGTTCAAATGATAAACTTTTCTACTTGGAAAATCTGTTTATACATGATACCTCAATCCCTAATGATCGATGTGGCCATCACATATAATTTATTGTCCCTCATTATAAGAATGCCTGTGTTTATTTTGTTTAAACCAGTAATTATGTTTAACTCTTTACTTACATTATCCTTATAGTAGCATTTGTTTGGTAATTCTGAATGAACTCATAGTATCTAAAACAGATTATTAATGTTATGGGGGAAAAATTACATTTCTTTTTTTTTAGTTTACTTATTTTTTATGTGCATTGGTGTTTTGCCATGGGTGTCTGGTCCCTGGAACTGGAGTTGCAGACAATTATAAGCTGCCATGTGGATGCTGGCAATTGAATCCGGGTCCTCTGGAAGAGCAGTCATATTCATAACTATTAAGCCATCTCTCCAGCCCAGAAAGTCACATTTCTAGTGGCTATGATCCGCATTTATTTTTCTGGAGAGTGAATGCAGGGTCTTGTACATTTGAGGAAAATGCTCATCACTAAGCTATATCCCATAACTAGTTTATGACTTTTAGATCATCAGCAAACTGAGTCTATAGGCTCAAAGCTGCTGATGAATTACAGAAATACAGGAAACATATCGGGGCTCTGCATACTATGTGAAAAGGTGAGTGGTGCTTGTCAGTGTTGGCGTGAGAGCACACCATGTTGCTAAGCTCGCTGTCCTGTTTGTTGTACAGTGCGGCCAGACTCCCCTGATGATAGCTGCTGAACAGGGCAATGTGGAGATAGTGAAAGAGCTGATTAAGAATGGAGCCAACTGCAACCTGGAAGATCTGGTAGGCATAATAATCTACTCATTAGTCCTGCCTTAGTTTGTTCATAAAGATGGTTAAGGAATGATGATTAAAAATTGTACTTTGAGGGCTGGATATGGTAGTTTACATCTTTAATCCCAATCCCAGCACTCGGGAGGCAGAAGCAGGCAGGTGTCTGAGTTCCAGGCCAGCCTGGTCTACACAGAGAATTCCAGGCTAGTCACAGCAACATGCCAATAAATAGATAGATAGATATAGATGATAGATAGATAAATAAATAAATATTTTTAAAGTGCTCTGAGATATATCTCACCTATGTCTAATGTGCTACATCATTTTCGTTTGTTTGTTGTTTTAATCAGGAGAGAATTTTTTGCTTACAACCAAGTATTCCATGTCCTTTTTGTTTTTCCCTGTGTATGTGGCACCCCTGAAGCTCATCTCTGTTAATCAAGTGTCTTTGAGTATTTCTGTATATGAGCTGTGCTGTTAAGTGACTCTGAAATTGTAACTTATAGATGGTGTTATTCTTGATAATGGCCCATTCTGATGCTGCCTATGAGGTACAAATCACCATCCTGTTTCTTTTGGGTTTCCCAGTGTTCTTACAATTACTTTCAGGATCATACAGCTGCATTCTTCTGCTTTAGTAACCATTTGAATTTTTTGTTTTTAAGACAGAGTCACTGTGTAGACCTTCCTCTGCCTCTCCAGGGCTGGGATGAAAAGCATGTGCCACTACCCTTGGTGTGATCATTTGAACTAATTCACTCCCTAAAGCAGTGGTTCTCAACCTTCCTAATGCTGTGTGACCCTTTAATACAGTTCCTCATGTTGTGGTGACCCCCAACCATACAATTATTTTTGTTGCTATTTCATATCTATAATTTTGCTACTGTTATGAATCGTACTGTAATTATTTTTGGAGATTATAAGTTTGCCAAAGGGATTGTGACCCACAGGTTGAGAACTGCTGTCCTAAATAAAAGTTAGGACAGTTCTGCTCTTTATTTACAAAACAAGAGAGAACAGTTCTTTGTCACAATATTTCTAGTCTCCCCACTTGCAGCCGCTGTACTTTAATACGGTGTACATGTGTCCACACACCGGGTGCAGGCTCTTTAATTTGAACTACAAATTAAAGAGGTTTTGGTGGTCAGCTTCTCTCCCTTCTACAACAATGAGAAGTTCAGGGAGAGGCCTCAGCTAGCACCTGTGACACTGCTCTCTGTGCCATTAGTCCTGACACTGGCAGGCGACAGTCCTGACACAGACCAGTGACATTCCTGATGCAGGCCAGTGACAGTTCTGATATAGGCAGGTAAAGTCTTAAAGACAGCTTCCGTGTTGTTCCACGGAGGCTTAGCATGACTCACGTCACTTCAGTTTGGACGGTCATTTGGCATGTAAATTTAAGCATATCCCTCACTTTGGAATGTTGTTTCTTATTCTGAAACGTGCCATTTTGATTACTTTGAAGGACAACTGGACAGCACTTATATCCGCATCTAAAGAGGGGCACATCCACATCGTGGAGGAACTGCTTAAGAGTGGGGCCAATCTGGAGCACCGTGACATGGTACGTGCATTTTCTGCAGGGCAGCATCAGTTAGCTGAAAGTCACTGACAGAGATGAAGATGCAGGAAACTTGTTTGTGCTTTGCTTTTAAGATAGGGTCCTTTTGTTTTATGACTTGGAGTGACGAGTGTTTTACATGCTGGTGTTATAGTGTCTTCCTGTTTAGAATAGCCATCATCAGCTTTACTGAAAAATGAAAAGTTTTCTAGGTCATAATACTTAAAAAAATGTATTTCATTTGGATCAGACTTTAAGATGTATGTCAGATAGTTTTAAATGTTCTGGGTAAGTTATAGTCTCTGGAATGTTTGGTGTGTGTGTGTGTGTGTGTGTGTGTGTGTGTGTGTGTGTGTGAGATCTGTCCAGGCTGCTGTCCGTGAGCACTACAGTTCTCGTAGGATGTGGCCCATAGTTGTCATGTACCTCCTGTTTGATCAGGATCTGAGTAAGGCATAAAAGTGAGAAAAGGGATCATCTCTGTCTATTTTGTAAGACATTTAACCTTTTAAGAAGTCAGTCTTAACAGTACAAGCAAGCAGGAAGTCATTTGCCTTGGCATATACAGCACACATCACTTGGCTGATGGGGTTCATGAAGTACATGTGGTTTAAGTTTGAAAGACACTGCAGCTGTCTGTCTTTCTCTTTGTAGTATATTGTGCCACACAAGGGCTTTACATTCGAAAACCTAGGAAGATACTACTGTACTTAGTTTGGATGTGAAATGCCTCTAAGTATTATGACCCTGCCCCCTTCTAGGCACTCTGTGATTCTTAGAAGCAAGAGTGTCCCTAATTCAGTTTGTGACATTTACTACACAGACTTTGCAGTGGTCATTGTAGATGCAGGTTTTATCCAGTTCGTGTTCTGGTGTGTATTTCTGAGGAGCTTAGGATTCAAGATCATTGTCTTAATGAAACAGTGCAGTCATAGAGATGTGAGTGGAGGACCAGGTTAAAGACATTCCTTGCTTGGTGATGATACAGTTTCACTCACCACTTTGTCTTTAGGGGGGATGGACAGCTCTCATGTGGGCGTGCTACAAAGGCAGGACTGATGTTGTCCAGTTGCTTCTTTCTCACAATGCCAACCCAAATGTCACCGGTTTGGTAAGCATTAACAAAAAAGTGAAATTGTAATGTAAATGGTAAGTTTTCTTACAGAATGCTGCAGACTTTTTATATTTCATAGTGGGTAGAGATTTTTTAGATCATACTGAGTATCAGATAGAATGCATTCTAAGACCCAATGAAGATTTTATACATTGCTCTTTCTCAGTTTTTCTAGTGAAAAAGCAAGTCTTTGAACTCAAAAGTTAACCGTCATTGTGTAGCATTTCAAAAGGAAGTTGTGAATTCCTTGGTTATCTTACCATGGGTGCATTCTTTCTCTGAGTTTCTTGAAAAGATGTTTATCAAGAAGCCATACCATTTTCTGTACATCCTGTACATTTCTGTACATGCTTTTTTCTGCTTATTAATCTTGCCTATTGGCTGATCACCATAAATGTGTTAACTCTGCAGAAATGAATGCATTGATAACTTGTGTATTTAATGCTTAACACTTCTTAGTCTTAATTATGTATTATGAATATTTGTGTTTTTAAAATGGAGAATGGTCTCTAACTTGATTAAAAAAACATGACTTTGTGTTAATTCTGATGATATTTGCTTGGTGAATTTGTATTGCAAACATCCATCTAAAAGACTCTCTTCTTCCTCCGTCCTGTGTGCGCCTGTGTATCCCAGCAGTACAGTGTCTACCCCATCATTTGGGCAGCAGGCAGAGGCCATGCCGACATAGTGCATCTTCTGCTGCAGAATGGTGCAAAAGTCAACTGCTCTGACAAGGTGAGTTAGAGTCTGTCACATGGAATGTCCCTGTTATAAACTTCTCTGATGTATCTTACTTTTGTCCTCTAACATTTTTATAGATGCATAACTTATAGATGGGTCCTCTGTTCACGTTGTGGACTAAGTGTTCTCTTGATATTTATTAGATCAAATTCATTATTCTCTAAATGACAGGGATAATGGACTGGTGTCTTTGTTGTTTGAAGTTTTCTATTCTAGCTCTTCCTTCTACTTTCAATCTTGTATGCTTTGTTTGTGTGAAAATTATCTTAAAATTCAAGTTTGTTTCTCTCTAATGCTTAGAGTTCGAAAACTGGTGGTGTGGTGATGGGAAATAATGGTTGCAAGTTACATTTGAAGTAATGATGGGCTTTTAAGAGGGAAGGCTTCTGGGAAAGCTGGTGTCTTAGTCAGGGTGTCTATTGCTACAGTGAAACACCATCACCAAAGAGCAAGTTGGGGAGGAAAGGGTTTGTTTAGCTTACACTTCATTGCTGTTCATTGCCAAAGGAAGTCAGCACAGGAACTCAAGCAGGGCAGGAACCTGGAGGCAGAAGTTTATTCAGAGACCATGGAGGGTGCTGCTTACTGGCTTGCTCCTCATAACTTTCTCTGCCTGCTTTCTTAGAGAATTCAGGTCCAGCAGCCCACCATGGACTGGGCCCTTCCTCCTTGATTACTCAATGAGAAGATGCCTTACAGCTGGATCTCAAGAAGGCATTTCCTCAGCTGAGTTTTGGAAGCCTAAGCTGTCAGGACTTGAACCAGAGACCTAAGAGGAAGGGAGGAGCAGGAGGAAATGATGTGATAGGAGGGGGAACAGTTGAGTAATGTCCTTGTGAAAGAGGGAGCTAAGATTTGGAGTGTGGGAGGCTGGCCCTCAGGAGGACCACTCGCCAAAGCCTGCCTGGATTATGTGCAGAGACTATGGGAAACATGCACACAAAAGGATTCTGTTTAGGGGGAAAGATAAGAATTTGAACTTGAGAAAAGGTAAGAGATTTATTGAAGTGGTTGAGAGCTAACTGAAGAGTCATGTGGAGCAGACAGGAAGCAAGGCAAGGGCATTCCTACAAGCAGGAGTTCCTTGTAAAGGTATCAGTGAGATTGTCTGCTCCTTAGAGTCGGGGTGAGCTGGCTAGTGCGATGGAAGGAGAAAGAACAGACATGCGAGCCTATACTCTTGAATATCGTTCTCTCAGAAGGTAACAAATGCAGTAGGTGCTCAAGGGATGAGAACCTATGTCTGATTCATACAGTTAGGAGGTCCTGATGAGTAGTGAATGTGTGTGTCTGCGATCCTTCAGGATGGCTAAGGGTATTGTGTTGTGGGGTAGAGAAGGCACTTCACCGACGTTACCTACAAGGCAGGAAGGAAGCTGGGAACACTGCAGACGCTGCAGTGAAATTGGAGCCTTTATCCTGCATCCCTTATCCATCTATCTCAGCTCTTCCCTTCACATCATTCCACCTTTTGGTTGGTTTCTGCTGCCCCTTGCTGTACTCACATCCTTGTTTGTCTGCCACAGGGACCCAACTATCAAAGGTTCTCAGGGGTACAGTTCCCAAGAGTGTGCTTGCAAGGGTGTCTGATGTCATTCATAGAGACTAGCTACATAGAGCTGTTTAGATTTTATTTAAAATTAAGTAAAAGTAAAAAATCCAGTTTCTTAGTTACACTAACCACATTTTACACATTTACAGTCATGGAGACTAGTGACTTCTTATTGTATTGGCAATGTGGAATAATAGTTTTCTTTTAGCGTGCTGGACAGGCAGGCTGTCAGGTTTTATTAAATGTTTATAACTGTGTTTGAGTTTTCATGTACATGAATGACACTTTGGGTATTCCCATCTGTTGACTGAACAGCATTCCTTTTGTGTCTGATTGTTAGTTCTTGGTGCTTTCTGACCATCTTCCATAGAAGGTGCTTTTGAGAAGTTTCTGGGCTGTGGTGTCAAGGAGACAGGTTGATTGGGTTAGGGTTAAGAGTGCAGATCAGGAAGCTGGTGGTTCTGTGGGTATTTTCCTACCTCTTTTTTTTTTTTTTTTGGTTTGTTTGTTTTTTGAGATAGGGTTTCTCTGTGTAACTCTTGCTGTCTTGGAACTTCTCTGTAGAGCAGGCTGGCTTTGGACTCAGAAATTCTCCTGCCTCTGCCATTCAAGTCCTAGGATTAAAGGAATGTGCCACCACTTCCTGGCTTTTTCTACTACTATCTTAATAACTTTGTGACTTTGACCTGGTTTGGGGCCTCACTTTCTTGTGTGAAAATGTGATCCTGTGAACTGGGCTTACTCTGTTATACAGACTAAGCACTTTAACTATGTGAAGTTGTCTGAGCTGCTCTTGATACTTGGTTGCTAACTTTTACACCATTAGGCTTCACATTATATCATAAAATATAGGAAACAGTGAATACCTATTGAAAATTATGAACTGTATGACTATGGTAGAAAGATTATCTTGATTAGAAAAGCTAAATAAAGTTGACTAAAAGACATTTCATACAAAATAACTAACTACTCAGGACAAAAGGATGAGAGACATAGATTTTTATCTGGGACTGAAATTATGACCCATATAAATACTTATCTAAGAATACTCAAAATATAGCTTCATTATGAGCTGCTTTCCTTTAGTATGTGTCCAAAGGTAATTTCGAGTTCGTTGCCTGTGTTAACAGTATGGAACAACCCCTTTGGTGTGGGCTGCCCGAAAAGGTCATTTGGAATGTGTGAAGCATTTGTTGGCCATGGGAGCCGATGTTGATCAAGAAGGAGCCGTAAGTACCTCTCCTCTCTTAGCCTTCTAATAGAGGGAATAATTACAAGCCTAGAAAAATTTCCCTGGAGTTCTTAAATGGATTTTTGTTTCTAGTTTTGAGATAGGACTTTGCTGTGTAGCCCAGGCTTTCCTGCATTTGCTGCCAAGTGCTGGGGCTCCTTAAGTGATACTGACTTTGGAAATAAGCTTGTTGTAATAATACATATTTGTACATACATTTTGGGAAACTGACACCATGAAGAATAATTTTCAATAATTCTTCAGGTCAAGCCGGGTGGTGGTGGCCCATGCCTTTAATCCCAGCACTCGGGAGGCAGAGGCAGAGGCAGGCAGATCTCTGTGAGTTTGAGGCCAACCTGGTCTACAAAGCTACACAGAGAAGCCATATCTTGAAAAACCAAATAATTAATTAAATAAATAAATCTTCAGGTCAAGTAGCCCCCCGCCCTTTTTTCACTTTTTTAATGTTTAAAAATTTTTTTTGAGATAGCATCTAAGTATGCATCCTGACTGGCCTGGAACTTGCAATGTAGATCTGACTGACTTTGAATTCACAGAGCTCCTCCTGCCTCTGCCTCCCAACTAGAACAAAAGTCATGTGCCACCATGCCAAGCTGGTTTTTAGTGATAATTGCAGGAAAACATGCTCTATTAAAATGCCTTAAAAGGCTCTTTGCTGTAAGGTATTGTTCTTGTCTAGTAAACAGTTAAGGACGTCAGACGTGAACCATTACAGTTAAAAATTGGTCCAGTCTAACTGACTACCAGTTATTAATTCATTATTGAGCACCAACTGTGTGCCTCACGTGTGCCAAGAGTACCGGAGAGCTGCAAGGAACCTCACAGATAGCTTTTTCTTAGAGGTCCAAGAATGTTTCAGAAACTAATGTTCGTGTGCAGCAAGCACTTTTAAAGTACCGAGGACTATTACTTGTGTGATTATTATCTTATGTCAAACAGCTCATGACGGAGTCTGAGAGGAGATTAACACCAAATCTGTGGACACCTCCGGCCACGTTAAATGGTATAACTTATATCCTAGAGCAATGGTGTTCAGCGTGTCCTCTCTTCCATGATGGCCTTCAAGGCACTGTTCATCCTGCTGGAGCTATAGCAGGTCCCAGGTCCACTGGCCTCTCTCCTGAGTTACCAAGTACACTAGCAGCTTACTATTGTGACAATTCGATGATGAACAATTCTGTTTTAATATGTGAGAAACGTGTCCAGTATTTTAAAGGGCTACTTAGAATATGTTAACGATCTTTTAAGCACTATTAAAGATCATTTATTAAACTTTTTTTTTTTTTTTGGTTTTTACGAGACAGGGTTTCTCTGTATTGTTTTGGAGGCTATCTGTCCAGCCCTGCCTCAAACTCACAGAGATCTGCCTGCCTCTGCCTCCGGAGTGCTGGGATTAAAGGCGTGCGCCACCACCGCCCGGCCATTTATTAAACTTTTATTGAGATAGGCTCTAGCTCTTAATTCATCATTTGTAGTTTTCCCTAAACATTTTACCATAAAAAACTCTTAGTTTCAAGTTTGGTCCATTTTACTCTGGATTATTTAAATAGGAAAGTGTTGAGTTTTGAGTCATTTTTTCAACCTTGTTACATGTGTAAAGGGTTTGTTCCCTGTAAGTGAGTGCATTATCATCGAAAGAACTGAACCTCCGGATAGTCTAATGACTCAACAGAAGTAGTGTATCTTTGAAAACTGAAAATACAGGATGGCTCAGTGGCTCAGTGGATAAAGTGTTTGCTGCTAAGCCTGGTGACTGAGTTCCGTCCTCGGGATCCACGTGGTGCAAAGAGAAGATGAATTCCTATGATTTGACCTCCACATGTCCACATAAGCGCATGCACAGGCACGGAGAAAAAAGTAGGAAGAACAATTCGTTTTGAAACCTGAGCATATGCCTCCTGCCACTTTTGGCATATGTCTGGTTGTTTATGTTGGCATTTGTCAGAACTAACTTTAAAATGTAATACATTTGTTTATTTATTTATTTTTTGGAAGGGGGCACATATATGCCACTGCACACGTGGGTCCTAAGGATCAAACAGGTCATCAGGCTTGGCGGCAAGTGTCTCTATAAGCTAAGCCTTCTTGCTGGCCCAATTGGAAATGACTTTTAACGGCTGGAGGATCATTATAGTGGTAGAGCCCTCACCTAGCATGCTCAGGGCCCTGGATTATAGGCCAGCACCACCAACTGTTAAAATTTGATTATATTTTAAAAATTATGTGCCTGTGTTTGCTTTTGGATATATGCATATGAGTGGGAGTGCCTGCAGAGGCCATAAAAGGGCAGCAGATTCCCTGGAGCAGGAGCTACAGATGGTTTTGAGTCACCCAGTCCTCTGGAAGAGCAGCAGATACTTTTAACCACTGAGCCAGCTCGCTGCCCCCTCCAACTGTTGATAATGGAAAATCATTTTCTGATATGGCATAATATGCTTTCTAGAACATACTAATTTCTTTGTTTTCCTTTGAAGAACTCGATGACTGCACTTATTGTGGCAGTGAAAGGTGGCTACACACAGTCAGTGAAAGAGATTTTGAAGAGGAATCCGAATGTAAACCTGACTGACAAGGATGGGAACACTGCTTTGATGATTGCGTCAAAGGAGGGACACACAGAGATTGTACAGGACCTGCTGGATGCTGGGACATACGTGAACATACCTGACAGGGTAGGGAACCCTCTTAGGCTCGTCTGTGGCCGTGAAGTAGACAGGAAACTCAATAACTGTACTCATCACCAAGTCTTCACATAGGGCATGAGCTTGTTTTAAGAGAGGAGTTATTTCTGCCTTTGAAACTATTAAGTTAAAATTTCCAGGTCTTGTTTATTTTTGTCAATTTTGTTGCAGGAAATGTCACACATGTGATTAATTTGTAGTCTCTTTGATGACTATCCCTGTAGGTGTTTTTCATGGTTGGTGTTACTCATTGTCACAGGACTTAAATAACTACATTAATTATACTTAAGATTTTTTTACTTTTGCTTGACTTCTTCCCTGAAGTTACACAAATATGTTTAGAACTCTCCACTTGAATGTATATTTAGTAAGCTTTTTAAACTTACAGCAAAATAAAATGGAAGCGGGGTTTTTGTTTTTATTTAAATACCCTCAGTTTTCTCCATCTCAGTAAATGGTACTCCCCACTCCCTGCTTTACCTTTTCTTTACCTACCCCACGCCATTCTGTTGACTCACGTAAAACTTGCCCTCCCTGGCCTAAGCCACTCTCTCCTGTTAAAGGAATCATAGCAGACTTCTCTGATGCCTCTGCTTTCTGTCTGCGTGCTGTTGAATGAATGCACTTCTTTGTTGAAGCCATCCAAGGCTTTCTCATACACTTTGGATACATATTCCAGTTTTAGTTTACAGGCCCTGCATGCTACTGCCGTTACTTGAGTCCTTGTCCTAATTTTATGTCACACTGTCCCATTTAGGGGGTTGAAGCCCTAATAAGTCCCTTGTGTTTCATGTGCACGCTGATCTTACCCTGCTGTGGGGTAGGGTCATGTGCACCTGCTATGTGTGCCCTTAGTCGAGAATGCTATCTGCACATGGTGGCTCCTGTTTGTCATTTTTCCTCGAGTTACATCTGCCTAGTCTGAAAGGTCATCTTTAGCTATTCAGTCCAAAGGGACTACCCAGTTACTTTTGATGGGATATGTTATTCTGTCTGTATAGTGTTTGTCTTGGTTTATTTATTTAAGTATATGTTGTCTTTCTTTGTTAGACTGTAAATTTTCTTAGACCTGGGACCTTGTCTATCTTGTTTCCAGTTTAGAATGTTGCCTGGCACACTGGAACAGAGAAATGGGCTCCTTATCAATTTACTGGTTCCCACCCACACCATCGCTTACCAGACTAGAACTGGGTTTATTTAAGCTGTTAGTGGGGCAGCAAAGATACTGCACCCCAGTGCTAACCTGTAGCCCTTGAGGAGTAGTTGATGTGTAGCACGTTGGGGCCTCAGAACCAAAGCTAGCAATAGCTCATGGGCTGACTTAACACAGACATCTACAGCTGAGCTACCATTTACCAATGAAATAACAGATACTTGAGCCCATGGTAAAATGAGTCTGAAGTGTGGAAAACTGGTTCAAATGACTGTTGCTGGTTGAATGTCATCTGAGGAAGTGTGCTTGTGAGGCATTTACCTTGTTCAGTTCTTGTGCAGAAAGATAATGATGTCTGTGTGCTCTTAGCTTGTGGCTGTCCACTGGCTGTATCCACTGACACTGCTCTGGGACCAGCCCTTGCTGTGCTTTAGAGGCATGACAGCATGCCAGCTCTGTGCTCCCAATTTAGAACCTGTTACTTTTGTGACACGATAGTCTTTGAAGGGGATCTATTATGTAACTGCCAGCCAGTGTCCTGTGATTTCAATAATCTGTGTGATAGGAAATTACCTTCAAAGAGACGAGATTCCATCTGAGTAATTTGTCTTTTAAGTTTCTATCATGGGACATCATGAGTCCTCATTCTAAGGACTAACGTCCTCTCTCTCTTATTTAGAGGGTTGCTAGTATCAGATAGTGCCAGTTAGTTTAAAATCTCACTTTAGTGATGCTCTTTTTCAAAGAGGTTTTTAGAACAAATCTACTGTATTAATAAGTGAGTAACCTTAATTTCAGAACATGTATATTCTGACCTTGTTTTTTGCCCTTGCAGAGTGGGGATACTGTATTGATTGGTGCTGTTAGAGGTGGTCATGTTGAAATTGTTCGAGCACTCCTCCAAAAATATGCTGATATAGACATCAGAGGGCAGGTATGTGCGCTCAGACTGTGGGTACTATGAACACATGTGTCAAGTAGTCAAGATGTCTCTTCTCCTAATTTCTGTGGAGATAAATATATGTCCTAATGCATTGCTTGTGTATTATGTTTTATGTTGTTATGTTTTATTGGCACTATTCTAAAGTTCCAGAATTAATGGTCACTTAAATTCAAATACAAGTAAAAATGCTTCACAACATTCTCAACTGTGTAGTGAAAATCCTCCTCAAAAAATAAAACAAGGCCTGGAAGTGTCAAGGATACTTGCTGTTCTTGGAGAGGACTGGGGTTCAGTTCCCAGCATCCATGATGGGTGGCTCACAGCCTGCCTTAACTCCAGCTCCAAGGGATCTGACACCCTCTTCTGGTCTCCGAGTTTCTAGATAAGTGTGTGTGTACCACCTTTTAAATTAAAGTGAGCATTGATGTAGAAAAAGGAAAGAAAGGAAAGCCTTCACTGGCAGGTGGAATTGGAGTTACATTTGACAATGGACTGAGTTTCAGCAGGTGGGAGAAAGGAAGGCAGAGGGCTTCAGGGAGGCACAGCGGTGACTGTGGGAGCAGAAGACTACATGACTACGGAAAGTGAGTCTGCCGCTGGTGGTGGGGGAAAGAGATGTCGACAGAGTGAGAAGAGCTGGGGATGAGTGTGGTCCACTAAGAGCTGGGGATGAGTGTGGTTCACTAAGAGCTGGGGATGAGTGTGGTTCACTAAGAGCTGGGCAGCTCAGGCACATTTCTTAGGCTAGGCACTCCCTTAGGGACATATTGACATAGGAAATCTAGGGTGGCAGCTACAGGAGTCGTCTCCTCAGTTAAAGGTGGATTTTCACTAACAGATGGTTCCTGGATCACCTGTTTTAGGCCACGGATTGCTGTGTGTCTGTCATTCTTGCGCATCTATTTTTAGTCAGTTTTAATTGATGCTCTCTAGCTCTGCTTCCCAGGTCTGAGTGAATCAGAGGAGCCAGACAGGTTGCCGAAGGATCTGTTCAAGCAGTATAGGGTACTTGTGGGTCTGTTAAGAGAGCGACAAACAGTAATGCCTGCATTGTTAGAACACATTCCTACTCACCATCATCAGGACAGGGGGACACATATACCATTACCTGGCTCAGCATGTTTAATAATGACTTGTTCAAAAGAACAGAGTTCAGGTGTCAGTGACCTCTAACCTGTTTTCTCTTCCTGAAATCTGATTGCATCACACAAGTGTGTTTCAGGGATGTGGATGTGGCACAGTGATCTAGTGCCTGTGTAGGATGTGTGGTCCTGGGCTCCACCTCTGCTGCACAGAAACAGAGCAGAGCACGACTTAGCAGCTCTGTGACTGCCACCTCTTACTTACATAGTACTAAGTCTTTCTCAGACCCTTTCATAAAGAGTTTCTTAAAAGTAAATCCTAGGAGTCGTGTAGATTGATATTACCTCCTACCTCTTTACATTCCTAAAGAGCAGTTTTTTGATACTGCCTCTTACATGATTTTCTTTCTTTATACAGGACAATAAGACTGCATTGTATTGGGCTGTTGAAAAGGGAAATGCCACAATGGTGAGAGATATTCTGCAGTGCAATCCTGACACTGAAATATGCACGAAGGTGAGATGATGTTCTGTTCTGTGAGCTGAATGGTTTTAGAGTTGCAATAATGACTCCCTGTGTCAAAAGGCACATCTCGGCTAGTCACAAGCTGTGAAGAGGTTGCTACCCCTAGGTTCTTTACTCTCTGTTTGGAGTGCAGAGCACATCTGCTTTAAGCAGCCTCTACAAGCTGTCCTTGGATCCCCACATCAGCCATTTCTTCTTCACTCAAATCCCGTGACACTCTACAAGACTTTGGTGGTTGTGTTTAGGTGTTCTATGGGGAAAATATATTTGTAATTCTAATATAAAGGTTAAAATGCCTTACTAATATAGTTATTTCTGTTCAAATCACTGGTTGGGAAAGGAAAAGCACCTCCTGGTCAGTTTGTAAAGTATGTTTTCTTCAGAATATTTGAGTATAGAATTACCAAAGTAAAGTAAAACCCTGTTCTTTAAACCTTGTCTGTGCCCACAGGATGGCGAGACACCACTGATAAAGGCCACGAAGATGAGAAATATCGAAGTGGTGGAGCTGCTGCTGGATAAGGGGGCTAAGGTGTCTGCCGTGGACAAGGTAAGGCCGCCTGTGCGGAGCACCTGTGGGGAGACGGCGGTGCCCTGACCTGCGCATTTGGGGAGGGCCAGAGATGACGAGCTGGGATTGTATGCAGGCCTTGGATTCTGTTCCAGCACATGATGTGGAGTGAGCGGTTTAGTGTGCTCTCTGTTCCCCTTCTGTGGCTTGTAATCAGCTGTCCTTGACCACCACATGAGGAGGACATCTCAGGAGTAGCTTACCACAAGTCTACAGAGACTATAGACGGGCTGGGAGTGTGTGTTCTCCAAGTAGACTGTAGACTGGCATTGATGGTCCAGTTCCCGGCATCACATGGGGTAGCTCACACTGCCTGATAGCTCCAGCTCCAGGATATCTGATCCTTCTTCCTGCTTCCCTGAGGACACACATTCACATGCACTTAGCCACACACAGACACATAATAAAAGTAAAAGAGTTGTTTTAATTAGGAAGGACATAAAGTTAAAAGAGACTTTTGAAATTGAAAACTTCTGCTGAATGCAGTGGTGCACATCTCTAATCCCAGCACTCGGGAGGCAGAGGCAGGTGGATTTCTGTGAGTGTGGGGCCAGCCTGGTCTACATAGAGAATTCCTAGGTCAGCCAGAGCTAGTAAGACACTGTCCCAAAACAAAACAAAACCATAAAACAAAACAACAGCAACAACAGCAAAAAAAACCCCAAAACATTGAACACATACTACTGGGAGTGTTGCTGTGGGAGACAGTCAGCACACAGTTGCTGACAGATGCTCACGGTAAGGAAACAGTTGTTCACTGAACACATTGTACTGGGAATTGTATGTGTACAAGGAGGAGGCTGTGAGAGTTCTTAGCAGTGATGCTACAGTTGGAGCCCTGGGCCTTTGCACCTGTGAAGTGAAATGCTGGCCCACTGATCTGGGGCTCTGTGCCTTTAGTATTTGAAGTGATGTCTATGTGGGTCTTGAAGTTGGCTTTTCATATGCTATTTCACAAAAATAAACTGTGAAATAAAGATGTCTAACCTAGTTGTTGTTGTTCTGTGTTTATTTTCAGCATACTTGTGGGTTTGCTTGTGCTTTTCAGAGATTGTGTGTGCTGAGGGTATTTTGCTCTCTCGTGGGTTTGAGAATGTGAATTGGAGTTGGGTAGTTCAGCTGTGTTGAGTTTGAGGACTGATAGACAGACAGGGGCTGTGACCAGCAGCCATTGGGATGTGTGGGATGAAAATCTGACAAGACCTCCAGAATGGGGGTGGGAACGTGAGGGCTAGGTCAGGACATGTGTGTGCATGATAGCCATGAAGATTCAAGTGTGAAGAGCTCTGAAAGTGGCCAGAGTTCAGCCCTCAGAGTGTGTCACTCTGTTGGGTTTATAATTATTCTTGGTTATCAAGTTTCTTCCTGTTATGTCATTGTCTATATAAAGTCAGAACCATTTTGTCTTCTGTTTCTGTGTCTTCCAAAGTACCCAGCACGTGAAGTGCTTCACATTTGCTCAGTTCAGCAGTTATGGTACTACTTGTCACAGGAAGGAAACAGAGAGGAACATGAGACAGGAACAGTTTGGATAAGGTCCATCCCCAGGGGCCAGGGGAAAGACGTGAGGCCTTTCATGTGTTGTCTCAGAGCTGCCAGGGTAGGTAATTTCTACGTTTTACGTATTGCTTGTCCTGGGGATGGTTTATGAAGTACTAGACAGAGTACTTGGCACACTGGAGAGGTCCTTCACGAGTGGAGTTTTTCTTAGTGTGGGATGTGAATACTTTGGTGATTGCAGAGTCTCATAGCAGAGGAGGCAGCTGGTGACAGGGGTGGAAGATGAAGAGACTGGAGATACTGTAGTGACGGAGGACAGGTGTGACATGATGGACAATCTGGACTCATGGGATCTAATGACTCCATGACAGCAGATGCTTGACGAGGGTGACAGGGACTGGTGGGCTGATCACAATGGATGGGACCTGAAACTGGTCGAAGAAAGCCATGAACTCGAATATGAGTTAGTTAAGGAAGGCCCTGCCGTCCTTGGACACTGACTGCTCTGATGGAAGAAGGGTGCTGAGGAGCGGGCCCTGGCCTGGGAGGCGTGTGTGCAAACGCTGTGCTCTCTAGATGAGCTGCAGGGAGAGACAAAGCTGCACTCTAGAAGCCGGGAGGGAAATATTTCTGAGAAGCACTTGTAGAAAGTCAGGGAAAGAAACTGTAAGAACACAGAGATCCAAATTCATATTTTATTTGTACCATCTATGAAAACGTAAGCCTCTAGATCATCTGCTTTATCGAGGTGTAAAAAGTGTTGTTTAGTGCTGGCCTGCGGATGAGAAGTTCAGCTTGTGCTGCCATTTTACAGAAAGGTGACACTCCCCTGCATGTTGCCATCCGAGGGAGGAGCCGGAGACTGGCGGAACTTCTTTTACGGAACCCCAAAGATGGGCGGCTACTTTATAGGCCCAACAAAGCAGGCGAGACTCCCTACAACATTGACTGCAGTCACCAGAAAAGCATTTTAACACAAATATTTGGAGCCAGTAAGTGATAAGTTTTGTCCTTGACTGAGCCTGTACATGCACAATAATATGTTGTCTGTGTGATATATGTATGTGTGTCTGTGCGCATATATGTGTGTGTGTCTGTGTGCATATATGTGTGTGTGTGTCTGTGTGCGTATATGTTTGTGTGTCAGTGTGATATATATATGTGTGTTTGTGTGCATGTGTGTGTGTGTGTGTGCGTATGTGCATTTATCTGTGTGTATCCATGTATCTGTGTGCATGTGCATGTGTGCTTTGCTGGAGGTTGAACCCAGGGCCCTGTCAATACTAGGCAAAAGCTTTACCTCTAAGCAACTCAGTGCTCCTGCTTGAGTTTTTAAATAATGAATTTCAAGTAAAAGAAATTGTCCAATACACTTGTCCAAAAAAAGATTTTTAAAAGATTTTTATTAGGTTTATTCATTTTATTTTATCTGTGAGTGTTTTGCCTACATGTATATATGTCACCTCACCAACAAAAATTTTTTTATCTTTTGGTTTTCCAAAAGACAGGGTTTCTCTGTATTGTTTTGTAGGCTGTCCTGGAACTCACTCTGTAGACCAGGCTGGCCTCGAACTCACAGAGATCCACCTGCCTCTGCCTCCTGAGTGCTGGGATTAAAGGCATGGGCCACCAACGCCTGCTCAAAAAGATTAAAAAAAAACTGTTTCTGGACTGGTAAGGTGTTTGAAATGATATAGGCTCCTGCTGGTCAAGCCTGGTGACCTGAGCCTGATTCCTGGAACTCGGGTTCCAGGTGGAAGCACAGAGCTGATTCCACTGAGTTGTCCTCAGTTGACACACATGACCCTCTACATTGAACACTTCTTAGCTATTCTTACACTTTTGGAAAATATTTTAAAATTATGTCTATGAATGTGTGCTGCATGTGTATGTACATATGTATGCATGTGTGTGCGTGAGTGTGTGCGTGCGTGAGTGTGTGCGTGTGTGCACGCGCGCACGCCTGTGGAAACCAAAAGAGAATGTTGGATCCCTGGGAACTAGGTTATAGGCCATTTTGAGCTGCTCAGTATGGATGCTGAGAACCAAACTTGTGTAATCAGTGAGAGGAGGAAACTAATCGCACTGAGCCATCTCCCTAGCTCCTCTTCCATCATCTTGGTTTTCCATCTTTAAAAAAAATCTCTTTGGTGTTGTTTGTTTGAATTGCCTTAACATAGGGAGAATTGGTGTCTGAGTCATTAAATCTTTTTGCCAAGAATTATTCCATCTTTGATTGTCTATTATATTCATTAACGCTCTGTATGTTCTATTTTTAAAAAATATCTCTGCAGTTGAAATGTCTCTTGAACTTTTCTCCCACCAGTAGCTGTAAAGATTGGACCCAAGGCTCATGGTGTAGCCCTGGGATGTGTGACATGTGGCAGAGGAGAGAGCATTGTGTCTAATTTGTCAGTGGTTTTCCTTAGCTGTGCTTCAAGACGATGTATCTTATCATTAAGTAATAGGTATTTTATAATAGATTCATTATGTCCCTGAAAATACAGTATCTGTGTAAGACTCTGAAGCTGTTTTTACAGAGACTTAAATGGTCAAGATAAGGTGCTCCCCCCAATGAACAGTGGTTTAGAACGGTGCTCCTTCTTAAGTGATGCCACTGTTAATGTAAGGGTGTGGTGTGCTTCTAATCACAGGACACTTGTCTCCTACGGAAACAGACGGCGACATGCTTGGCTATGATTTGTATAGCAGTGCCCTGGCAGACATTCTCAGTGAACCTACCATGCAGCCGCCCATTTGTGTGGGGTTGTATGCACAGTGGGGAAGTGGAAAGTCTTTCTTACTCAAGAAACTAGAAGGTAAAGAAATGCTTTAATGCAGTCCTCGCAGACAACACTTTCTTGTGCAGTGAGTCACAGCATCCTCTGGGGTGGTTGACATTTCATTCCCTCTAGTCCACCCTCCATGAGTTATCTGTCTGAAACAGGTCCAGTTGCGGGCCAGCCCCCAGTACAGCCCTCGGTAGTGCGTGGGCAATGAAGTAGGTTCTTCACACACTTGTGAGTTTGCAGACCTCCCATGAGCTCTGTGCTCAGTCAGGAACAAGTGCCCTTGCTGATAATCAAGGCCTTCCTGCTATCAGAGGCCTCTGCCCCTGTCCTAACACATGTACCTTTGGCTCTTCAAGGACAGGCTACAGTGTGCATATAAAATGACCTCAAAGTTAGTAGAAAGAGTAACTGTGGTTCTTGTTATACTTGATGCACCTCTGAGAACTGCAGTGGGAGACTGAGGGTGTGAGAGGAATGGAGGTGATGTGTAGTTTGAAGGTGGAGTCCTGTTTCTGTCTTTGCATATGTGAGCAATACTTTATGCCGTACAAACCACAAAACCCAGTATCAGTAAAAGCTTGACAGATGAGAATAATGGACATGAGAGTTTTGTGCATCTTTGGGACTGGGGGATGAAGATAGGTGTGCACCAGGAGACCGCGTGCTCAGGCTGACTAAAAGAAAACGGTGGGTTAAGTGGTGAAGCAGCAGGGTTACCCAGGGCACTTAAGGATCCAGTACAAGCTTATATTAAAACAGGGAAGTTAAAGAATGAGTTAAAAGTTACACCTAAGCAAAACAAGTAAAACTTGACATTGACTCTCTTTCAGATGAGATGAAGACTTTTGCAGGACAGCAGATCGAGCCCCTTTTCCAGTTCTCATGGCTCATCGTGTTCCTCACCCTGCTTCTGTGTGGGGGGCTGGGTCTAGTGTTTGCTTTTACAGTTGATACAAATCTTGCCATAGCGGTTTCATTGAGTTTCCTGGCTCTCTTATATATATTCTTCAGTAAGTCTGATTTTCTAAAACCTTTTTCAAAAATGGAGAATAGCATTGAGTGTGTGTTACTTAAAACATCTATTTCTTAAAAATCTATTTGATTTTCATAATTGGCTGAAAAAATTGATCTTTTGCTCCTTTGTAAGTTGGGTTAGAATACCAGTGTTCAAATCTGGCTGGAGTAGCTTTAAGGACCACTGTGCCTGCTTGCTAATACCGCAGCAGGCCTGATTAACTGGCACACTGTCTGTTACAGTAGTGGTGACTACCCACCAGACTCTACGGCTTGGCTTTTACTTAGGATTCATGGGCCATGTGATACTTTCCAGTTTCACACACCCCTACATGCCAAGAAGGTTACTTGGGAATTCTTGGAGGAGTATTTAAGAATCAGTGTGGATGGTCATAGTTACATGGTCACAGTTACACGGGGTTAGCTCCCCTTCACTTGCTAGTTGACTGTGACAAACCAAGTGGCCTGACTAATTTGACCTGTGCATTTCAGTTGTCATTTACTTTGGTGGACGGCGGGAAGGAGAGAGTTGGAACTGGGCCTGGGCCCTCAGTACCAGACTGGCAAGACACATTGGCTACCTGGAGCTCCTCTTCAGGCTGATGTTTGTGAACCCACCTGAGCTTCCAGAGCAAACGACAAAGGCTTTGCCCGTGAGGTGAGTCAGTCCCTTTGACAGGAGGAAACATCAGTAAGGGTGTACAAGAGATTTAAAAGAATTTTATAAGGCATCATATCCCCCCCAAATATTGGTACCTTAGTCTTTTTTTTATAATAAAAAACAATACAAAAGCATGCCTTAGTACCTTTGAGAAACACTTCATAGTATGCCCCCTTCCCATAGGTGAGGTCACTTTCCCTCAAGAAACCTGATTACTTTTACAGTTTTTATTTGTACAGAAACCTCTTCTTCTTCCTTGATACCTATTCCATACTTGGGGCTTTTCTGGGAGCAGTGCCAGGGTTTAAACCCAGGGTTTTCTTGAACAACCCTCCATGATGGGGCCATACCTCGCCTCTACTTCCATCCTTGCTGACACCTTGGAAAGATGTTGTTGGCCTTTGGGGTGTAGTTGCGGTAAGAAGAGGTCTGGACCAAAGGCCTGGCTTCTCCGTGAAGGAACAGAACCCCCCAGGAACCCTGCTCTTTCCTCATCTCTGCACATGGATGTATGTGTCTAAAATTATTGCACATCCCAAGCAGGAAATGATAAGAAAAATATGAAGGGTAAAGGACACTTAAGGAATAAAGAAAAGGTGTAAGGTTCTTGATGAAAGTAGGTTTGTTTGTTTCTTAAGCTAGAAAATTAATAGCACAAAGCTCCCATAGGGGTTAGCCAAAAGAATTAAAAATCTGTTTAAAAGGTTAAGAAGTTTTAAATTATAATAAGATAAAATATGTATAATTTGAGATTAGTGCAAGTCATTTTAACCATCAAAACTATGCTAGCAATATAGGCAGAAAGATAAAGATTGATAACTTACAAGCATAGCCAGCCTAATTTATCCCTGGGTTCTGCATCTATAGATTCAGCTAAGTGTGGATTACAAATACTTTTTTTTTTTTTTTTTTTTTTTTTTGGTTTTTCGAGACAGGGTTTCTCTGTATTGTTTTGGAGGCTATCGGTCCAGCCCAGCCTCGAACTCACAGAGATCTGCCTGCCTCTGCCTCCTGAGTGCTGGGATTAAAGGCGTGCGCCACCACCGCCCGGCACCAGATTACAAATACTTTTAAAAATTGTACCAGTATGAAAATATGGGTATTTCTCCTTGATACCACCAAACAATGCAGCATACCAGGTGTTTACATAGCATCTGTATTGTGTTAGACATTATCCATAAGCGAGAGATTGAAGTAGGTGTACTTGTACTTTGTATGAGAGACTTGGACTGATCCTAGTGAGGGACTGTTATAATTAGCATGTAAATTTAAGCATTTAAGATTTAAAATTGAGAAGTCTTACAGTAGTTGAGGTTGGAGAGATGGCTCAGTGGTTAAGAGTGCTTGCTGCTCTTGGAGTGGGCCTAAGTTTTGTTCCCAGCACCTACAGTGGGTGACTCACAGCCACTTTTAACTCCAGCACCAGGGGATCAGAAACCCTCTTCTGGTCTCTACAGGCATCCATAAACATGTATACATAAACACACACTAAAAATGAAGTAAATATTTTTTAAAGAAGGAAAAGTTTCAAGGAAAGTATACAATATGGAATAACACAATTGGAGGACATTTTTTACAGAAAATTAAAAGTTTAAATTAATAAGATGATAGTTTTGAAGACATTAGAACAACTAAACTAGTGTCAGTACAGTGTCATTCCAGACTGTAATTTTGAAACATGTTTTATCTACTGGGTTGATAAATTTATCTACTGGGTGAGACTTTAACTTAGAGATGGAAGGAAAGAATGAATTAATGCAGAAATAAATAGTTCAGAGACTCAAGATGTCATAAAGTCAATTATTTTGAAGAACAACTCTGAAAAGGATATTTTACAATTATTTCTAAATCCTTGGTATATGTTAATGCTATAAAGAAGACATTAGGAACGTTTATGTAATTTTACTAATTTTTAGGATTTATTGGTTTTATTTTATGAGTATGGGTGCTTTGCCTCATGTGTGTCTGTGCATGTGGTGCCGTGGCGTTTAGAAGAGGGAGGCAGATGCCCTGGAGTTGGAGTGACAGGTGGTTGTGAGCTGCCACGTGGTGCTGGGAACCAACCTCTCAAAGGACAGCAAGCACTCTTAAGTACTGAGTCTGTAGCAGAGCACTCGCTTGAATTCCTGTCTGCAGTGAAGGCTCTGGCTTCTACACTCCGGCTGGTGTTAGAGTACTTTCTCCTCCTTGCCGACAGGAGGCAAAGCTCTGCCGTCACGCTCCCCTTTCCCAGTGGCCATTCGCACATTTAACACATTAGCGTCTTTGTCTTCTCGAGAGAATCTCCAGTGTGCTCAGAGTAGAAGATGAGTAATCACATGTTCTGCCTCAGAACTTTTAAATAACGTCAAGAAAATATAGACTAAATGGGGGCTGGAGAGATAGCTCAGTGGTTAGGAATACTGGCTGCTCTTCCAGAGGACTGGGTTCGAGTCCCAGCACCCACATGGTAGGTCCAATTCTGAGGGAGCAGACTTTCTCTTCTGGCTTCTGTGGGCACCAGGCACACATGTGGTGCATAGACATACCTTCAGGCAAACCACTCATACACATAAAATTAAAAATTTTAAAAGAAGAAACAGATACTGTCTTTTTAAAAAGGAAGAAAATGTAGAATAAATGATAGCGATGGCTGACATAAGTTGGAAGTTCTGCATCAGATAGCTGAGTAACTTCCTGCTTGGTTTCTCCCAAGGTTTTTGTTTACAGATTACAACAGACTGTCGAGTGTGGGTGGAGAGACTTCCTTGGCTGAAATGATTGCCACTCTCTCAGATGCCTGTGAGAGAGAGTTTGGCTTTCTGGCTACCAGGCTTTTTCGAGTATTCAAGACTGAAGATACTCAGGGTAGGACTCCCTCCCTCCCTCCCTCCCTCCCTCCCTCCCTCCCTCCCTCCCTCCCTCCCTCCCTCCCTCCCTCCCCTCTCCCCTCTTTCCCTCCCCCTCCCCCCTTTCTACTTGCCTGCCTCCATTCCTTCCTGGTGTGTTTCTAGAGGTAAGGAAGGGAATAAATGTTTATTTGCCTTCATTAGATCATGAATTGAACCTCTTGACCATAAAGATTATGGTCTTCTGGGTACATGATATTGTAATAATTCTCAATACTATTTGTTCTATTGCAGGTAAAAAGAAATGGAAAAAAACTTGCTGTCTCCCATCTTTTATCATCTTTCTTTTCGTCGTGGGCTGCATTATTGCTGGAATTACTCTTTTGGCTATATTCAGAGTTGACCCCAAACATCTGACAGTCAATGCTGTCCTCATATCAATTGCATCTGTCGTGGGGTTGGCCTTTGTGCTGAACTGCCGAACATGGTGGCAAGTGCTGGACTCTCTCCTAAATTCTCAGCGAAAACGCCTCCACAGTGCTGCCTCCAAACTGCACAAACTGAAAAGTGAGGGATTCATGAAAGTGAGTGCTCCCCATAGGAAACTGTAGTGGGAATATGCTGCTCACTGGCCATGCTCTCAAAATGTTACAGGGTTATGTAGAGGTTTTTATTGTTGTTGCTTTGGTTTTTCCTTTGTTCAGCAGTAGGGACTGAACCTGGGACCTTGTGAATACTAGGCAAGCACCCTACCAGGCAGCTACATGTCCAAGTCTGTGGGTTTAGTTTAGTGTAATTAGTTTGTTACAGTTATAGGAAAATTAAGCTATAACCTGTATATCTTGTGTTAGCACGCATGCACAGCTGCTGTTACAATACCTGTCACCAGAGTGCTCCAGTTGCACCGGTTAATGGACCTGCATTGACCTGTCATAGTCAGACTCAGTGTCCCCAGTTTATGCTAGGTTCAGTCTTGGCACTGTACATTCTTTGGGTTTGCATAAATCTTTGATAACATACCCATGATTATAGTATTTTACTGCCAGGAAAGTTCCTGCCTCACCTCCTCAGTCCTCTTTGTCTCTCCCAGTCCCCAGACAAATGCTGATAAGTTTACTATGTCAGTAGTTGTATCTTTTCTAGAATGCCATGTAGTTGAAACCATGCAATATGTAGCTTTTTCATAATGGCTTCTTTGATCTAATAGTAGTCATTTATATTCCCTTCCATAGCTTAAAATGTCATTGCTTCCTAGGCCTGGATAATATTGTTACCTGGATGAAGAATGTATGTTTATTCAGTTACCTACTGAAATATATCTTTGTTGATTTAAATTTTAGCAGTTATGAATAAAATTGCTGTAAATATCAGTGTTCAGGTTTTTGTGTAGATGTAAGTTTTTAGCTCTTTTGAGTAAATACAAAGGATTATAATTCTTGGACCTTGTAGTTTGAGTACATTTAGCTTTGTTAAAAAAAATAGATGTCACTAAAGAGCCAAGAGTAGCGCAGCAGTCAGTCAGTAGGACTCTTGGGTAGACTTCAAGTCCAAGTCTTTTGTCATTTCAGAGTCTGTGATTTTGTCAAGCAAGTCTCTCAACCCATTCTGTCCTTTGTAAACTCCTGTCATAGGGTTTCCTCGTGACATTCTGGGAGTGAAGTGTTGTCAGTCCGTGAACTGAAACCTTACTCCAGGTTAGGTAGTAAGAGCTTTGAGTTTCTTCTCCTCCTGCTGGATAGCTTTCTCTTGTGTCTCAGATTCTTGTATCTCCTGTGCTTTGTGCAGGTCCTGAAGTGCGAGGTGGAGTTGATGGCCAAGATGGCTAAAACCATCGACAGCTTCACTCAGAACCAGACAAGGCTGGTGGTCATCATCGATGGCCTGGATGCCTGTGAGCAGGACAAGGTCCTGCAGATGCTGGACACCGTACGTCTCCCTATCCCCAAACTTGTCACTGTGGCCACGTAGGATGCATGACTTCACAGCTGTCGCAGCTTGGGTGGAAACTGTGCTTCTGATTTAAGAAACACTGGTTTCTCTGACGAATTTCTCTTTTATAAAAAGAACTAATTGTTTAAATGCAGAAATCCTGTAGAAGTAAATGTTTAATGAAGAACATTTAAATAATTTCAGCAGATGATGATTAGGAAAACACACACACACACACTTGTGGGGCATCTCTCAATGGCGAGTGTGGCTCAACTCTGCAGACAGTTGTGTTTATATTCTGACATGACAGAGGGAACCCAATTTATAGTTTTGTGTTAAAAAGCAGAACACAGGCAATCTAAGGTGTATTATAAACGCAGTGGTAAACTGCAGAGATGGGTGTGCCCAGGACCTCACCCTCATCTATTCATAGAAGATTCCTTTTGTGTAGGCTTCAGGTATCTGAAATTAACTCTTTGTTGTGTTTGTCATTGGTGGGCGATAACACCAACACTAAGATTGAACCACCTATAAAAATTGTTCTCTCTCTCTCTCTCTCTGTCTCTCTCTCTCTCTTTCTTGAGACAGGGTTTCCCTGCATAACACTGGCTGTCCTGGAACTAGCTCTATAGAGCAGGCCAGCCTCAAATTCAGATATCTGCCTGTCTCTGCCTCCCAAGTGCTGGCATTAAAAGTGTGTGCCACCACTGCCCAGCTAAGATAGTACAGATTTTAAAAAGATATTATTTTGTGAGTTTTTGTTTTTTGTTTGTTTGTTTGTTTGTTTTCGAGACAGGGTTTCTCTGTATTGTTTTAGAGTCTGTCCTGGAACTCACTCTGTAAACCAGGCTGGCCTCAAACTCACAGAGATCTGCCTGCCTCTGCCTCTGAGTGCTGGGATTCTGAGTAATTTTTAAATTTGTGTCTTCTGCCACAGGTCCGAGTTCTGTTCTCAAAAGGCCCCTTTATTGCCATTTTTGCAAGCGATCCTCACATTATTATAAAGGCCATCAACCAGAACCTGAACAGTGTGCTTCGTGATTCAAATATAAATGGACACGACTATATGCGCAATATAGTTCACTTACCAGTTTTCCTTAATAGTCGTGGCCTTAGCAGTGCAAAGAAGTATCTTGTAACTTCAGCAACAAATGGGGACATTTCATGCCCAGATACCACAGGTAGGTATCAAATCCTAAAGTACTTGGACTTGAAGGTTTTTATAGTCTCTGTTTACCTTGAAAAATGTTGTTGCTATTTTATGTATCTTTCATATCCCACGAAACAACTTTGTGCACATGGGGCTTGAATTAGTACTTTGTAACGCTGTAAGGGAATGCCATGAGCAGGGCAGTTGTAGAAGGAAGAGTTTATTTGGGCTGTGGTTCCAGAGTGATGAGATTCCAGCACCATGATGGTGGAGAAGCATGGCAGTGGGCAGGCATAAGGGAAGGCTTGGCAGCTGGAGTGGCAGGTTGAGAGTTCACATCTTCAACTGTAAACAGGAAACAGAGAAAACACAAACTGGCATGCATACCTCTTTAAACCCTCAAACCCACCTCTGAAAGCACATTTCCTCCAGCAAGGCCTCCGCCCCTACCCCTCCTTAACAGCGCCATCAGCTGTGAACTAGTGTTCACACACCTGAGGCTCAGGGGACTCTCGTTTAAACCACCAGGATGATGTCTTGATGCATTCTTCCAGGGGTGCAGGAGGACGCCGACAGAAGAGTTTCACAGAACAGTCTTGGGGAGATGACAAAGCTTGGGAGCAAAACAGCTCTCAACAGAAGGGTAAGGAACCCTCGGTGCCATTAACTTAATGTGTGATTGAGTTTCCCTTGCAGTGTTGGGGAGGACCCAAGCCTTGGCACACTAAGCATGTACTCTGCCCCTTAGCTGTATCCTGACACTGATTGTGTTTTGTTAGGGTTATTCAATTAGAGTTAAGCTAGTGCCTCCTAATGCTCTTCTGTAGACAATGCTAAGCTCTTGAGATCAACATCGGTGCTGAGCTCCCTTCTGGTGCCAGCTGCCTCTGAGCTTCCGTACCCAGAGCAGCAGCGACTGACCTTGAACTAGGAGAGGTCTCTGTCCTCTGCAGCCACTTCCCAGGTCAGGTGCTGACGCTGCCCAGTGACTCCTAAGATTTCATAGCCCAGAAAGTGATCGTGTCCTACATTCATTCCTGAGCAAGTGCCACCTCCACCTTTATCTCCTTACGTTCTTCCTCCTTGCCCAACATTTGCAAGGTCTGTATAGTAGTCTCCACACACACGTGTAGTTTTAGGCCCTTCCCAGACTCCTTGGGTTTCCGGTCCATCCATCTTAATTGTAGAGCAAAAACGTTTTATAAAGTGGGAAGATGCTCACCTGCAGAGAAGCCTTGCTGATAGTGTTGCTTAGGGGTGGCTGACGTGGGGTTATATTAGCATTGTCTTTTTTTCTGGTTTGGTTGCCATTTGGACATTACCTTTTAAACCTTGTGTCTTTGGTTTTGTGCCCACATGCTTTACATATATTCAAATTTACTATGAGTGCCAGTTAATATAGCTAAAGTCAGGGGAGTGTGCCTGTCAGCATTTTGAATTTCTCTTCTGGTAGCCCAGGCTCTTGGGTACCTGTGGTTGCATCCACCTATCCCACACTTTAGGACTCTCCTTTAGGAGGCTACGCCTCTGTTGTGTCTGTTCTTCTCTTAGGAGATGGGATCCTTGTCCACTCCAGCCTTAAACTCTTTAACTCTTCAAAGAGTCAAAGAAAGTTAAGAGTGGCTGTGCCTGGGAGAAAACTGTGTAACACTTTAAAACAGCCTAAAAATGGAGATGCTGGATTCCTAGGTCCATGCAGGAGCTTGTTTGCTTTATTGTTTCAGGGTTCCTCTAGTATGGGGGCTTCATGAAGTTGGGCTGCGTTCTCTTTATGGAGTTCTGCTCACTTCTCATCTTGAAATTAAGATTTTCCTAACCATACAGCTATCAGTGGACGTGCATCTGAGCTCTCAGTGGGCATGCATCCGATGCATTGCTGCACCTGTGCAGCTCTCAGAGGGCATGCATCCCATGTATTGCTGAAACTGTACCTTCCTCATTGGTTAATATTGTAAATTCTGCTATTCTTACCTGCGGAGTTGACTCTGCAGCCCGTTTTGGTGTTCTTATAAGTGTACATTAACTCTCTTATCTGGTGGTGTTCTGTTTCAGGATACTTACCGCAGAAGACAAATGCAGAGGACCATCACCCGGCAGATGTCCTTTGATCTCACGAAGTTGCTGGTCACCGAGGATTGGTTCAGTGACATCAGTCCTCAGACCATGAGACGATTACTCAATATTGTTTCTGTGACAGGTGACTTTTGTGTCTCATGTTCTGTGATAGATAATAAGCTTTATTTTACTTATATTTTTGGAGGTAGTAGGCATTGAATGCATGTTCCGCTATGGAGTTTCATGCCTGTCACCACAGTAAGCGTCAAGGCTAACAGAGCATTGTGACAATCACTTTTGTATTAAGTTGACATCAGTGGTAGTTGATAATCAGATAGCATTTGGAAATTTATCTTAAAATTTCATGATTTTGAAAGTCTTTTGCTTTATATTTAGGGTAAATTTATGTAGCAGCACAGTTAATATTTGTGTTGAAATTCAGATTTTTCACATACAGCTATGTTGTTTTAGTTTTTATATGATATTTTGAATAAAATGTTCATAATAAAATGGAGATTATTAGCTAGGCAGTGGTGGCACACACACACCTTTAATCCCAGCACTCTGAAGGCAGAGGCAGGTGGATCTCTGTGAGTTTGAGGCCAGCTTGGTCTACAGAATGAGTTCCAGCACAGCCAAGGCTACACTGAAGCGAGAGAGAGAGAGAGAGAGAGAGAGAGAGACAGACAGACAGACAGACAGACAGACAGAGAGAGACAGAGAGAGACAGAGAGACAGAGAGAGACAGAGAGAGAGAGAGAGAGAGAGAGAGAGAGAGAGAGAGAGAGAGAGAGAGAGAGAGAGAGAGAGAGAGAGAGAGAGAGAGAATATTATTTGTGTGGGTGCTGCTCTTTGCTATCCTGAGACTAATTAGCATTAGGGTACTCTTAGACATACCTGCAATGTAACTTACAGAATGTGTTTCTTTCCTGACATGGTATTACTTGGTACCTTCTGATATTTCCTAGTGGTGACTCTGCCAACTGGAATTGCACTTGATACTGTTTCCTGATATTCTCAGTAACACTGACACACTCATTTGATAATATGTCCTTATGCTGAGAGTTAGTCTGGGTGTTGCAGAAATGAAACAATAAACAAGACAATGTTCCTCTTATTCAAATTCTTTCTCTCTCTGGGACTTCTCCTGGTTCTGCTCCTGCCCTTGCCCTTGCCCCTGCTCCTGTCCCTGTCCCTGGCAAAGTTCCTGCAAAGAGTTCCCTGCCCTTTCTCATACTACTCTTCCATCAGTCCTTTCAAGCTCCCCCAATGCCCTTCTTCTCAGGATTTCAGTACAATTGCACTTCCAGTTCCCCAGCGGCTTCCACGTGGAGCGCGCAGTTGCCAGGTCCCAGTCCTTCTCGGGACCCCACAAGCACCTGCGACAATGTGTTGGTTGCTTCTTCTTGAAGCTCTTCCTTCCTTTGGTGTCCAGAGTGCTGCACTTTCTGGGTTTGTTTCCTCTTGCCCTTTAACACTGGGCTGCCCTTGACTGCAGCTCCTAGAGCTCAGCTTTCTGTCTTGACCAGTTGTCACTGACTCGGCCTGTAAGGATTCCTGAACTGTATGAACAGTGGGTTTTCTCACTTCCTTATGTGTCAGCTTTTCCATGAGACCTTCCTGCATCTCAAATGAAACGGCTCCTCTTCCTCCTCTCCCTGCCTCATCCTGCTCCACAGAAAGCCATCTTCGGACACTGTCGCTTACTCTCCCTTGTCCATCTGCTCTCTGGAATGGGAGGCCTCATGCAAGCGTTTTTTGTCTGATTTGTTTGATTGCTCTGGGAGCAATTGTGAATGAATAAGAGACCTGAATGAAATTAGAATTACACTTTACGGACTTCTTTTGAGAAGCATTCTAAGCAAAGGAACAGCAGTCCAAGGCTGTGCAGTGGGACCCCCAGAACAGCTGGAGTACAGGCCTGGGTGGAGTGGGCACTGGAGAGCAGTGGAAGTGGTGTTAAAGAGTTGCAGCTCCTTGGCCTCATGACTCCAAAGTCCACAGGAAGGAATTTAGATCGTTTACACGTCGTCAGACACTGGAAACAGACCAGAGTTGATATCCTTAAATAATTGATGCTAAAGCCAGGCCTGGCAGCACAGCAGGAGGATCTCAAGTTCGTGGCCAGCCTGGGCAAGTTAATAAGTTGGATATGGAGGTTTACATCTGTAATCGTAGCACTCTGGAGGTGGAGGCAGGAGGATAAGGAAGCCAAGGCCAGCTGGGCACATGAAGCCCTCTACAACCTTCTACAAAAGTACATTGTCAAACTTATTTTAGTGGTCAGCTTTTCATTTTTGCTGCCCCCCTCCAAAAAAAATACCCATTTAGTTAAGTATTCGCAGTTATTCCATAGGTTTCTGTTTGCTTATTGGATTTATTGTCTGTTACACTGAGTGGGTGCTTTAGGAAGGATGTGGTCATATCATCCGTTTTGTTCTGGGCTCCACCCCAGCATCAGTGTTTACAATAAGTCTATGGCGAGCATAGCTGGCAGACACTTGTGACAAAGCTCACTGGGATGGAAGAGTCACATCCTGTCAGTGGGACACTAGGATAGTGAGGGTGTGAGACCGGGGGACAACTGGATGATGACAGGGGGAAAAGAATTGCTGTTAGAGTCTGTCAGACAGACAAGTAGATGGGAGTCCAGGTGTGGATTGAGCTGATGATGCCATAAAATTGGGTGTTTTCAATTGAGAACGGTTTGCAATCCTGTCAAGTCAAGGTGAGGGTGAAGGTACAGGGGAAGGAAGCCTGAACTCTGAAGACCGGAGGATTGCAGTTGTCTACAAGTCAGCGTGCTCTGAGGTAGAATGCTGAGTTAGTCCTCCGAGCACCCTACAAACAGGGCCATTTCATTCAATGTACAAATAACAAGTTCTGGATACACTGTACCTGGGTCGGTAGTTTCTGACATGATCTGTCCAAGTAAGGAAGAAGGGAGGTCATACAGCAAAGATGCTCTGGTATATTGAGGTCCAAGGAGAAGGCCTCAGTCACACCAGAGCCCCGAGGACCACCGTGGTGCTTTATTTTGTTTCTTGGTTTACTTTTTGAGACAGGCTCTCACTGTGTAGCTCAGGCTAGCCTCAGACTTGTCATATCCTACTTCAGCCTTCTATGTGCCAGGGTTACTGGTGTCTGCCACCATGCCCTCTGAATCTTTAAATTTTGGATTTTAGAAACCAACTAGATTTAAGTATGTATTATAGCCATATGGCAAAGTTTTCAAATTCTAAAGATTAGTTATTTGTGAGTATGCTAAATGTTCTGTTTAGTATGCCTACTAATTTTGAAATGTTTACATATTCCCTAAAGGGCGGTTACTAAGAGCCAATCAGATTACTTTCAACTGGGACAGGCTGGCCAGCTGGATCAACCTTACAGAGCAGTGGCCGTACCGAACTTCATGGCTCATACTGTATCTGGAAGAGACTGAAGGTGTCCCCGATCAGATGACACTAAAGACCATCTATGAGAGGTATTTGGTTTGACTTCTTTGCCCTTAACTTCACCTGGAGTTGAGTTTTAAAACACACAAATAATGCGGCATGCCAAGCCTCTACTTCTGAATTTTTGGGCCCCTGGGTCCCCTGCTGTCCTCGAGTTGTCCTAGTGAGCTCGTTTGTACTTGTCTTCTTTTTACAGTGTGTAAGTTGTAAGATTTACTGGTTTTGTAAAGTTGCAAAGTCAAATGTTTTTGTTTGCCAGAACACTTATACTAGCTTCAAGGTCCAATTGGTAGTCTGATAAAGTAGCGAACTGTTTCTTAGAAAAAGATAACTTGCATAAACTGTAAAGTTTTATAAAATTGGGTGTAATTGAAACTACTATTGTAAAATATAAATAAAATATTAATATAGTTCATAGTTTATAATCTTTAGGAGTTCAGATAATTTTTATTCCCTAGGAGTATTGTTAGTATATGGTTTTTTGTTTGTTTTTTAGTTTTTGGTTTTTTGAAGCATGATTTCTCTGTGTAGCCTTGACTGTCCTAGAACTTGCTCTGTAGACCAGTCTGGCTTTGAACTCACAGAGATCCTCCTGTCTCTGCCTCCTGAGTCACCCAGTCTCATGCAGCAGAGCTGGCATTTTAATCTGGGTGTCTCTAACTCCATAGGTCACTCATTCTGAAACTCCAAGAGCCTTATGCGTGGCGGTCACACATCCTGCTGCTAACCCACACCAGCCCAACTTGTTTTTCTTAAAGAAGCCAAGACTCTAGGTGTTGGGGGCTTGGTTGCTTTCTTTGAGTTTCTTTTGTTCACGCTAGTTGATTTCTTCATCACTGTGACTTTTTGCTGACAGCCAGAGCTTATGTGTTGTTTTTTTCTGCTCTTATGTGTTATAGGGGCTGGTGGGGTAGCCAGAGGGGGGGGAGAGAAAAGCATGTTGTGTCCTTGAAGGATGTACATAGGTTTACTTGTCTTTTCTATTTGAAAATACTTTCAAGTTCAAGGAATTTTTCAAGACTGAGACTATTACAAAAAACATCCCACCCTTTGCGAGACTCTTCTATTCACATCAATTCCATCTGCTTCATCAGTGTCATGGCTTATTTCCCTTTATGTTTTATGTATCTATATACAAGTGTAAGCTGAAGTCTTCAGATTATGTGTGGAGAAATTATATATAGCCTATTGTTTGCCCCCAAATGCTTGAGTTTGAGGGTTTATATTCTGATTGAAAGTAAAACATACATATTCAAAACAGGTGTAGAGGTGGGAGAGAGTATGACTTGAACAGTTTGTCAGTTAAGTCATCTTCTGGGTGTAGAGGTGGGAGAGAGTATGACTTGAACAGTTTGTCAGTTAAGTCATCTTCTGGGTGTAGAGGTGGGAGAGAGTGTGACTTGAACAGTTTGTCAGTTAAGTCATCTTCTGGGTGTAGAGGTGGGAGAGAGTGTGACTTGAACAGTTTGTCAGTTAAGTCATTTTCTGGGTGGGTTTTCTCATTCTAAAACCATTGCTCTTTACTGAGAGATAGTTGCTTGATGTTTTCCTCTCTATGCTTTTTTAGGGAAGAAAGATTTAGTTTGGGTTCATGGCTATGGTCTGTTGTGTTGTGAGAGCATGGAGGACTGGAACCACTCACAGGATGGTGGCCAGAAAGCATAGAGGAAAATCTGCATTTTCAGGCTTACTTCTTCCCACCCTTTATCCTGCCCGGGCCTGCAGCCTGGGGGATGCTGCTGCCTGCATTCTGCAACTAACACCTGCCAACTTGACACTCAACAAGGCTCTTTAAACCATAACTTTCCACCTTGACCCCCCCCAAAAGACCTGTATCATCATGTGACATGCATCCAGTCCATCTGTCCTCACAGCCCTAACAGTTCCAGTATTGTTCAGTTGTTGAAGTTCAGTATCTCCTCTGAGACCCAAGACAGACTCTTAACTGTTGACCCTGTAATATCCAAAGAAACAACATATTTCCAAATTACAGTGACACAGACTAAAGATTTCCCTTCCCAAAGGGAGGAAGGAAGGAAGGGAGGAAGGGAGGAAGGAAGGAAGGGAAGGAGGGAGGAAGGGAAGGAGGGAGGGAGGGAGGAAGGAAGGAAGGGAGGGAGGAAGGGAAGGAGGGAGGAAGGAAGGAAGGGAGGGAGGGAAGGAGGGAGGAAGGAAGGAAGGAAGGGAGGGAGGGAGGGAGGAAGGAAGGGAGAGAGGGAGGAAGGAAGGAAGAAAGGGGCTTAAAAATCAGGCATAGGACAAAATAAAAACCCACAGGGCAAATATTAGATCCTGTAGATCTGTGTCAGGCATGGAGGCATGTGCTGTCCAACAGCACACACATGCTGCACATCCGTACATGCAGGGAAAACATGCAGACATATAAGTCTAAAAGTCTCTTTTAATGTAGACAGGTCTTTGCTGGAGTCTAGTATTCCTGGCCTTCTAGTCCTGTTCCAGTACAGTCTTTTGCATCTGCTTCCTGATCAACAGTGCTTACTGTCCTTGTTTCTGTCAATATTCTGGTTCCTTGAGCTCCTCCCGTAATCACCCACAAGCTCTACTTAGAACGTCCTAGAACTTCTCTAGCCTAAATTTCCAACTTCTTCAGATTCTTCCTGCAAACCAGGTCACAGGCTTCTGAACTACACCTCTGGGATGCCACTGCAGCCACCCCACTTGTTTGACATCATTTTCTGTGTTAGTCAGGCTTTTGGTACTGTGACTGGAGCTTATGAGAGAATACATGCATTGAGCTCATGGTTTCAAAGGTCTCTCATGGCAGGGAGAGCCTGGGAAGCAGAGATGCTCTCTTTGGGGCAGCTAAGAAGCAGAGAAGGAATTGCCTGTGCTTTTATTACAGATCCCACCATCTGAACCTCATAGGTAGTTTTGAGGGTTTTTTATTTCTAAATTAAAATATGTCTTGTAGGAACTAGCAAATGCTTAACATGTAATTTAAAGATAATAGCAAATTTTATTCCCTTTTCTGAAAAACAGAATATTGCATAAGAAATATTTGGGGAGGGAGAAATGTTTTTTTTAATCATAATGAATATAAATTAGAGTGAGTTTTTCTGGGGGAACATTTTATTTTGATCACATCAGTATAGAATAATACATATTAAAGTAAAATGAGGTGATGCCAACTTTCTTTTATGATTAAACCGACCTATTACTTTAGACCTCAGACCTTGATGGTCTTGCCGTCTGAGAGTGGACTGGATTTAGGGTGACTCTGAGATGCTTTTCTTTTTTAAGAAATAAATATTCCTATAAATACAGAGAATGTTTGTAGTTTGCCAACAAAAAGAAAAAGAGTATAGAAAGCAATCTGAAAATTCAAAAGAAGTTTTACTTGAAATAATTAAATAAAATAATCTATAATGAAGAACTGTAGGAATACAGTTTGCTCAACATATTGAAAACCCATCCATTGGGAGATGTTCTAACAATTTAAATGTCTGTTTCTCCTTACCCGTAGCTGAGTTCTTTGGTGTTTGTCGTTTGAATAATAAAAAGTTTTATTTGCAGCTGAAAAAAAGCAGCAGTATATAATTGATATTCATTTATTTTATTAAAGAAATCTGATTTGGTAAAAACAATCAGAAAATAGTATTTTTAACGCTAGTAGTAAAATTTATTTTTTAATCCATAAAAAGCCTCATTTATTTTTATAGCAATCTGATGACACATCTGCTTGCTTTATTCAGCTGAAAAAGAAAATGTTGGTTCTTGGTGTTTTGTAAAATTGCTTTGTTAAATTATTTTCTAAATTGTTCAACTTTTAACAAATGACATTTGATACTAACACTGGAAAGCAATTTCAGCTAATTAAGTAGATCCCTCTATAAACCATTGGAACATTAAGATGACATACTGTTCATTCAAGATTATTTTAATTGGTACAATTATTGTAATTTTCTTGCAATTATGTGTTGAGCTAAAAGCTTTTGTCTAGATCATCTGAGGGTTTTTTTTTTTGTTAACATACATTTAGTAAGAAGAAAGAGAGTTAAATAAAAACTGTAGATAAAGATTTTTCTGTCTACATTCTGTTGCAGCATTTTAGACAATCATTGAAATATTTTAGTATAAAAGTTTATTTCTGGTATTTTAGGCATTTAAAGCAATGATAGAGGCTTTTAAAAAATCAATTTAAATGGTTTTCGTGGAGATGATGTTTTAAATTTCTGTTTTGACACTACTCAATCTTTTTCTCAAGAAGATATGGTCAGAAGAACTTTGTATAAGAGGTAAATCATTTTGGTAGTCTTGGATTTTTAAAATGAATTGAATAGGTTCTGAGGGAGTTTAAAAATGATGGCCATTTTCTGTCTCATAGACAGTTGTTTCCCGAGTAACCTTGGACATTGGTATACAATCTTTATGGATCTGTATGATATCTGTAAGTTATTTAGTCATATTTTAACAGACAGCGTGTCTTATATCGCTTTCTGCTATTACCCAAAGCTTTCAAAACCTTAATTGATTGCATCTCATATCCTTAGTTTCTCTCAGACCTCTCTAGTCTCCTTTATGTTTCCTTCATTTCTGTTTCCACCTGTTAGCACTTGGGTGAATTATACAAGTCTTTCTCCTTTATATGTGATTATCCTTAAATTATGACTTTGAGGATCAAAGTCCCCCTCGTAAAAAATGTGACTTTTGTACTGATATTTATTTTGTCTTAAATTGAAGATTCTAGGAATATCTTTTCAAAGCATTATTTCATGCATGTTGTTAAGGTGGTTTCTTTATTTATAGCTTTAAATCTTACTAAGATTCTATATTTATGACTTGATATGGTAGGATTTCTTGGAGATTTTGATGTTGCCATTATTCAGAATTCATTGAATTAGTATCTTGTGTACAATTTTTCCATAAGCATATGCACACACTTGCTCAGAATGCAGAGGTTAAATATTTAGTAGTCTCTTTATTTGTGAAAGAGATTTATCTAATTATTTGCAAAAATCACCTGATAATTTTTCCATATATGAGAGACCTTTAATCCCAGCACTTGGGA